GTATAAGCTAAGAAAAGTATCGTAATGTTTTGAATGTTGTGTCGTCGTCTCGTTTCATGAAATGAGTGTTACATGACGGTATCATGATATTATATGTGCACATTCAGTCAATAACTCCGGAAATCCGCACTCATGCCATGCTAACGATTTAGCGCGCATGCGCTCTTATGTCTTACTGTGTATTGGATGTTGAGTCAGTAAAGCGATGAAGCGTATAATGGGAAGTTTTGCACCGAAATTATATGCTTTATTAGGCAAGCTTCAATTTAGGATTTAGGGTGTTAATTTGTTCAGAATGCTCAGGTTGATATAATTCATGAATCTACTGACGAAAGTGTAACCTTATATAGCATATATATGTGAAAATGTATTATTAGGGAGTAGTTTGATTTTGTATACAGCGTGGCCACCAAAAGAATTCGTAGTCTTATATATACATCTCAATTTTAATATTGGTGTGTCGTCTGTCGCATAAGGTTGTGTTTATATTCTGGAAGATTCGTCAGCAAGTTAAATATTGGTTTATTGGCAATATCGCGATACACGTACGTCTACAGTTTATTACATACCTTATTGCATTGAGCCTATCGCATAAACTGAAGTTTGTTCCACATTGTTTTTGAATCATAATCAATTTTAAGCCACTTTGGTTGCTGCAGCAATGCTCAATTTGATCAGATTGCAAAACACTGTTCACACTGCCAAGTAATTCTTGTTCTCGATTTGCTATATTTAGAAACTTCCAAGGCTCGTTTGCGAATTGTAGACCGCAGAGGCATACAGTAAAATTCAGGACGTACCTGTTTCATTATTTCGAACTGTCGTTCGCGGAGTTTTACTAGTGTATAGAAAGTAGATATCATAGAAATCACGAGGGTCGAGAGCGGTGGTTCTCAAACGGTGGGACGTAGACAATTTTTTAAAGGCGTGGGGCTAAATAAAAATAATTGTGAGATTTGATCTTGCCCGCCTATTTGTTTTTTAAACTTTTCATTTATTTATTATTCACGTTCCATCCCCATATTTTCAACGTGTTTTTGCATAAAACATACTTTCGCCTTATTATCTGTTATTTGTAGATTATTGTTAGCTAGTTATTTTTAAAGTGGGGCGCGAGACTTGACAAATTCTAAATTGGGGGCGCGGCCTAAAAAGTTTGAGAACCACTGGTTTAGAGGAAAAAACGCAAACCGACAGCGTATAGTAGTATTTTGCTGGTGGAATATGTCATTGTCATTAATCTATTGTTGTTCCATGACAAGCTACATGTTGCGACAAGTAGGAGAATATCGCCAAATAAAACATCACTTAGGAAGATTGTCAATTTGCACTGTCGTTCTGAATAAGTAAAGGAAACTGGTTAAATTTGTATTTGCCGACGATACAACACAACCAGTCAAAGAATGTTTGCTTAGTTCTTTAATTTCTCATGGAAAGTATTTATTTTATGGACATGTTGGAGCGTCCCGTTTTCCTCACTGTGTGTTTAGCCAACAATGCGACCGGTTTCGTTCAACTTTTAAGGGTTGCACTGGGAAGCCGAACTCGTATCCAGAAAATACATACATTTTGTACATGTGAGAGGAATGTGAAGAGCGTATGATCATTTATTACTAAGGGAAAACTCCAATTTCTTTAGCTTCTGCTTTATGTTATGGAAAATGAAAGAGTTAGTATAACATGGCCTGTATATATAAGGATGGAGGAAAGACCTAGCATTTAGCCGAATTGTCTTCCTATGTTGTCGAATACACGCTAGCGCTTAGATTTACTGATTTATGCTCAGCAAAGTGAAACTCTTTGCGTCATATTATAAAACCAACACCATTTATAAAAGGAACGTTTAAATTATATTTTAGCCAAATGATAGACTTGTGCAAATTTCGATTAATGTTTACTTTGAAATTATCGGGATGAGATTGACTTATGGCATGACTTTTCTGCAAAGTAGAGTACAGCCAGTTGTATCGCTATACCGCTTGCGACCTCAAGAATGGTCGACCTGTCGGAATATGTCGAAGACATTTGATGGATATTTTGGCAATAGCTATTTGAAATTGGAACTGCAACTTCGAGTCAAACATTTATCAAAGCTGAGGGTTCGCCCAGTAAACGGTGCTTTCATATACAACACGGTAAACTGCTTCTGAGATGCTAATCGCCTTTCATACTCATTCGTCGATGAAGATTTCTTGTTGACGAAGCTTGTTTCTTCAAACGTAATATGTATAACATAAGAAACCCAGTTTTAAAGGTTCATTGAATTCTTATCAGAGTATATCCATCAACTGTCGATCATGCTAGATTTTGAATGAACCGCGTCTAATTTGATGAATATTTCGAATTGCCCGAACAGTATGTAGTTGTAATCGTTTTCGTTTGAGAAATCCGAGCGGAACATTGGTCAACCACGCTTGTGGAGTGTATCTTATCCGCAGGAGAGTATGCCTCTCTTATTGGTACATCATGGACATGGATCGCATATCGTTATTTACGTATTTGTGTAAGAACATGTATCAAAGGTCATTTAAGGTCTTTCCTCTTTACTTCTCGTCTTGTGTAGTCGTTTTATCAAAATGAAATCCCAAGAGCCGCCCACTTTAAAGAATTTCATGTTCTTTCGCCAAGTCCCTCGTGGAAATGTCAATTTATAACGAATGGTATTAAATAGAATACGGGATTAGAACGCGATTTGTACTTGGTGTGTATGATATATGAAGACGATAAATTTGTTGAAATTGAAAGTTCAATTATTGAACCGTTTTAGATAGACTGATCGTGACCGCAGCGCATGTGAAAAATGATTACTTCATTTAGTCGTCGATGGCCAATTTTCTGATCTGAATGGAAATCAAGTCTGTGCGACAAAATTAGTAGCATTTATAGAATAGCACAGTGTCAACTTAATATGAGAAAGATTTTGCAAGTATAGTCAGTAAGTGTACTTACCGGTAACTGCGAATCTTAGTATAATATTATTTCGAATTAATTCTCGTGCTTTATCAGTACTGACTAAAATTTATGGACGCTTGTACGTGACTTAATTAGATGTAGATACGAAATGAAATCATATGAGTCAACCAAGTTTCAATTTTAGGAACGAGAATAATATGTCAAGAAGAACTTTTACTGACACGTCTGTGGCGTTAAATTTGTTGGATTTATAGACAGTCACGTAGTATGGAGTAATACAACTGGACTTAGAATATTCTTGGGTTGCTAGCTTCGAAATCAGTAATATCAGGCAACGATATATCGTATCGCACATAACATTTTCATTTCAGAAAAAAGAACAATAAAAACGCTGACATTTCCAAATTGCAATTTTCATTATTTGATTTTCTGACCTTATGAAAAGTGACAGAAATGGAATAGTGATGTCATACAGCCATAACGAAGACAATAAAATTCACCGACATATAACTGGACATTTTGTTTTCTATTACAAAGCCGAGCGCAATTATTCCTATATTCAACAGGTATTATTATTTCACCAGCAGGTGTCAATGCAATTAGCGTTCGTTCAAAATTTTGTCCGAAGTCCAAAATTTAACAATTTCCAAGCATGGTTGCAATACTTATTTCTGTAAAGTCTTTGTTACAACTTACAGCCCTACACATTCGAGTGTGCCATCATCGCCCATCATTATTACATTTCAATTGGTTTTTGTTCATGTATTATTGACTGTAAATAAATCTGCTGTGTTGCTAATTTTATTTCCACAATAGATATAATGCTGCATTAGGGAAATTCGAATTGCGCTTGTTATTTTGGTAATGAAAAGTTTATTTCCGAATCTTCGGACTTGCGTCCCAGCTCAGGCACTTATTGTAAAATTTGTTTCTGCTGTTATCACGTGAAGGTCTACCACACTATAGCGCGAGATCTACCTTAAGCTGGTACTATAGCGTGAGGTGACTGTTAGGCTTAGGGTGTAACTCTTCCTGCAACATTTTGTATTGCGCTCAATCGATGTTAATGAGGTCGAGATGGATGGAATGCGAGAGACTGCACCTGGAAAGTCCGCGTATATACCTCACACCATAGTTTCGCATATCTGTTATAAGGAAAGTCCTTGGTTCTTATTTATAACCTGAATGTTATAGTTATAGGTTGATAAAATTTCGCCTCGATCGCAGTCGGTTTCTTTCATATCGTAGAGACGTAGAACATACGGCCGAATGTATCAGAGATAGATTCATACCTTAGAAGTAGAAAGCATGAAACAACGAACCGGTCAAGCGATTGTTTGTGTTTGCTCTCTCTAATTATTTAGAGACCAAACAACAAATAGATCCGGTCTGTTTATTTTCCCCGCGGAAATAAACTTGTGAATTGAAGTCGGTCGGGTTCTCAGTAAAAGCGGATTTCCCAGCAAGACGTGCTTTGTATTTTGCATTTTCTCTTTGTTTGCACAAGACTAATTGGCAGATTATCAGCGTCTGTATTCCGACGCCATAAACGAGACACCAACTTAGAGTAGTAAGGAAGGATATTGTGAAGTAGAAAGGAATTTTACTGAAACATTTTTGTTTATGGAATAGAAATAAAAAGGAGGAATAACATTTATTTAGCTTACTTAATTTAGATAAGATGCATTAGCAAATTTTGGGGTAAAAAAAAAATCATAGTTTGTTTGCAGCTCTTTCTAGAGTAGTATATTGCAGGCACAGGGTAATTGGCGGTGTTATATTTTATATAGATTGAGTTTGACATAGAATTGGCAGAATGGTGGTATTTTTATCCTTGTTTCTTCTGACCTGTCACAATTTAGTCAAAGTAATCGATTCAAATGTGATACAAACATAACCAAGTTGATCAATCGATTAGTTTATGCTATTTTTACCCTTCCAATAGTTCAATATGTTTTGAAGAATTAAACGATAATAAAGTTTAAAGTATTTTTCTTGTTTGTGATAAATAATTCAAGTTTGGCCTCACTCTCTTGAATTTCAATTTGTTTCATATATGTATTCAAATATATTTTACATTGTTCGTTTTATTGTAAAAACAGTTCAAAATGAACCTGTTTCAAAGGTTGTAAAATTTAAATTGTAGTAAAGTAGATATTAACAAAGAACATAACAGACATAAAGTCTGCAAGCTTATTTTTCGGAGAACAAAAGATTTTTAAAAAATGACCTCAGAACATCCTGTACAAAATGGAATTAATGGTCATCACACACCTGCGCCACACCCCCATGCCCAACAAAGTTATCATCCTGGACCACGTAGTAGAAGCAGCAGTACAGCCAGTGATAAATCACAACAATTAACAAGGAAATTATCTTTCTCACTACGCGCTTCTGATTTTGGTAGGTATATACAAATGAACTCGGGAAGGGCATTGTTATTAAAAGCTGTTAGTGTTTTGCACAAATCATCTCAACAATTTTTGTTTATACCATTAGTTTTTGTATTCTGTTAGTCAATGTTTATCATTATTCATTACATGAGTATGCTAATGTGAGGCACTTTATTATTAGGGTTTAAATTAATTTTTGTCACTTCCATGTGCGGAATAAGAATTTTTATTTTAGCTATCCTACTCGTGACTCTTTCTTACAATATAAAGTATTATGTGATTGAAACAATTGAATAATACTATCTGGTCGTCTGTATTGCTTTGAATCAAATTTGATGACACTTTCATGATATAACCAAGATTTGAAACTAGCCTATTGTTTGTTCACTATAACACCAATGAAGACCATGGAGCATGTAAAATTCAATGTTAGATGATTTTTCTGTGCTTTTTTCATTAAAAAGACAATGTCAATATAAGTTATAGCTTGATTATGTGTATGTTTCTGGTGAATTTATGGATTTTAGGATTTACATATTATCCCGGGTGAGAGGAAAGATTATCCACCACAGGATTTGAACCTGTCAACCCACACAGAGTGATATGACTTGCGTTGGCAAGCATATTTCTAACACTTAGCGCGATGCGCCACACTGCCGAGCCTTCATATTTTAGAACTGTTGTTATTAATACTGTTTCTAATTCGCGATTATTTAATATAACGGGTCTAGGTTATGACTGTGAGAATGTATTGTTAGTACATGAAAACAAAGAAACAGTTTCAATAATTTCAAATTTTCACAGGCATCACCAAAGATGAACGTCTCACGGCTGAAGAAATGGACAGCCTGCGTAACCAGGCAACAGCATATGAATATTTGTGCCATTTGGAAGAAGCAAAAAGGTAATAAGACCTTGTATATTTGAAGTATCAAATACAGCTTCCAAAATATGTTTTTGAATTCCATATATTTGTACTCGTATATACTAAGCCTAATCTATGCATATTTTGTATTAAAAGTATGGCTAATTGGCAATTTGCTCTGTATGATTTAGTCTTACTGTTTAATAGTTGCTGTCATTTCAATATTCCAAATTTACCATTTTTCTTTTGTTTTCCAGATGGATAGAAGCTTGTATAAATGAGGAATTACCGCCTAGTGTCCAGTTGGAGAAGGTCTCCAAAATGGTGTATTCCTTGCAAAACTTGCACATTTTTTCAATCCTAAAGTGGTTCCGATTCGAAAAGTGTACGACAAAGATCAGAAAAAATATGAGCAGAAAGGTCTTCATTTCAAACACACTGACAACATTAATCATTTCTTTAAAGCAATGGAAGAGACTGGATTACCAACGGTACGCTTTATTATGTCATTGAGTTGGTTAGTTAGGATAGGATTAACATATTTATCCCAGTGAATAGAAAAGCCGATATGACGACTTAGTCGTATGGCAAACCACAGCCTCTTGTCCTGTAACCATTTCATGTCGGGTTTAAGATCAGTTTAGATTTTTTTTAAGATTAGTTTAGATTTGTTTCAGATGTATGAACTTGAACCTGATCAATGAATGCATAGTGTATTTGTAAATCTGATATTCAGATCGAATATAGGTGTGCAAAAAATAGTGTAGTGTTTTGATTATTGTATTTATTGATAATATTTAATGCTTGGAAAAATCTGATTGTGAGCTGAGTCTAATTCTTATTAATCTTAATTCAACATATGTTATTTCAAACCATGTCACTATATAACTAACTTTTGTGCAATACACTGTCTGGTATCATCAAAGTTGTATAATGATATTCCACTTTATTAATAAGAACTGTTTCAAACCTCCACAATAAAAGATTTGTCCCTTCTATACTCAGGAGTCAGGAGGATCTTTACTTTTGAATGCCCTTGTTTGAACCAACAGCATATAACAGCGTAAATTCCAGGTTTTCGATACAATAAAACGATTGTGTAACCACACCATTGTGTGGTAAATTGGCCTTTTACCCAAAATGCGTTGGCCTTTTTAATGTCATCTAGGTTGCTAATATGTTATATCAATTTGCTTGTGGCGAAAATTGCTAGGCCCACTGACGCTAATAATTCTAATATTAGATTTGTCTGACGATGGCGACATTTTTATTACCCGCTTTGTCATATTATATTTTTATTCTTCACTGAGTTGCCCTCAGATAACTAACGTTTATAAGCCTACTTCCTTTTTTGGTCAAAATGATATAAGTTTTATCATATGAATGATGTCATCGGCGTTTTATTGGCTCCATGCAAGGGCGTTTTTCTTTAGCATCGATCATGCTTCCAGTCATTTCCTGTTTTCAGCCATTGAACCACAAATCATTGTCATTCTGTTCTGTTTGGCCAATGGTTTAGCCTGTGGCCTTTCTACACTTTGATTTATATGATTTTATATTAATAAATGATAAATAAAAAATTGATCATGATATGTGTCAGGCTAAAACGTTTCTCAATAAGACATTTGAAGTTCATGAATATCTTTGTAGATTGATATTCTAGAATTTGGCCCATCAGTTCAAATACTCTTTAATAATAAAGAAGATTGAATTCTGATTAATAAAAAATGATAATAACTTGTTTGTTGGCAAGTTGTATTGGAATGTGACTATTTGACTGAAGATTTTTAAAACTCAATTTTTTATCGATTCATTCCCTTTCTGAGTTTTTAAAATAAAATTCAAATTTCCATTTTTTGGTTTATCCTGTAATAAACCACAACACTTCCCAATTTAGCAATCCAAACTTACTAATCACTGGTAGTGGTATCCCATCTCATTTATACAACATATTTTTTCGAGATATTGAGGAAGCAACGATTTATTAAAAATTGAAATTTCAATGAATACAGCAATATGTCTCATATTCATTTTATTAACATCATGTAGTCTACGTCACACAACCATAGTTAGAATTATATTTCTTTCATATTTTAGGTATTGGCTTTTTGTGATAATGTCCAATAATACGGCAAATATAATATTAGCATTTATCACAATATTTGTCTAGCTATTCACTGAATTAATTCCAGGGAGTCTTGGCTGAATTTAATATTCATATTTGTGGCTTGATGCAATGCCTTGCGGCTGATAGCTGTTATACACATGTATAAAAACTGATTGCAAAATAGTATTTTTGTAGATTGCTTTTCTGATACATTTGATTGATGCTCAATGATGCAATATATTCCGAATAGCCTAATTGAAATCTACATTCTGATATTTTTGATTTTTTTTTTGAGTGTCAAAAGTTACACAAAGTTATATTTTTTGTTGTGACCATTATATGTTGAATGCTTATGGATGTCAAGTGCATGGGTTATTCAATTTTTCTAAAAATCAGTAATATGCTAGTTAAATATAGCTAATTGATAACTTGGATTTTCTTTTTCAGATTTTCTACCCTGAAACAACAGATATCTACGACCGTAAGAACATGCCAAAAACTATTTACTGTGTTCATGCTCTGAGTTTATTTCTTTTCCGCCTTGGAATCGCTCCCCAGATTCAGGACTTGTATGGAAAAGTGGAATTCACAGGTTTGTGATGTTTCTGAATCTTTTCATTTTCACAATCTTTTTCAGCTAAGAAGACTTAGATGGCTATCTAAAACTGAAAAATATCATTGAATAAAGTTTGTAACATATACAGTAGTCTGGGATATGTGGTATCATGCCAGGGATGGCCAAAACCGAATATTTCATTATTTGGAATACATATCGAATATATTCTAAATCGGAGGCAAGTACATGTGGAAAATTATATAAATCTGTATATCTTCATGTTGATCATTCTGAAGCGACATATTTATAAAAGTCACTGCTAATTGTTTGTTATCAGTTGAGATATCGTATGTTTTAATATGCTTGTCTTACAGCTCAGAATCCCAAATTTTCAAATAAAAACAATCTAAATTATTCCTGAATTCCAAAATTTTCGATATAGAATATTCAAATATAATGAATTTTGAATGTGTTTGAATATTCGATTCGTTTGAACATTCCTATTATCCTCTCCACTTCAGTTATAAATATTTTACAAAAGGGAACGAGGTTACATACATTTCAATTGTGAATTCCATCTCATAAAACCCCTACATCTTAGACTTGCTATAATGTCTAACACTGACTCAGGAGTAAAATTAAACTCATCTCTGATCGAAGTAAAGGGCTGAAATGCGCAATAAAACTATTGATAATTATAATGGTACGTTACACATTAGCAAATGCCAATTCAAATGCAACCTGAAGCAATACAATCAGTGAGTCAATAATAATATGATAAAACATAAAATAGCCATGAAGTAATGAATTCCACATTCCTTTTTGAATCTTCATCTGGGCTGACAGTAAACAAATGACGCCTCACAGATTACTGAGCACCATAGCTGAAAACTCTTCCAAGTTCAGGTCATTCATATGAAAGTTGTAAACATTTGTTTCAACAAACCGATTTGAAGTTACTACCTGCTTAATTTACAGAGGAAGAGATCAGCAACATGCAGAAAGAACTTGATAAATACGGAATCCAGATGCCTCAGTTCCATAAAATTGGTGGAATCCTTGCTAACGAAATGTCAGTTGATGAAGCTGCCTGTAAGTTGATATCATTATATTATAGTTAGTTTGCCCAAATTTTTCAAAGTAGTTGATGCATCAGATTCTGTTTTGATTAGATTATTTGTATTGGCTCTTCTTCTACAAGTTGTATTGGATGTCTTTGCATTTACTATTATACAAAGTTATACATGGGAGAATTTTTATGAAAAGGTAGCCTAAATTCTAACTCTGATATTACAATTTTATATGCTTGTCATTGTTGTCAAGGAATGATCACTTTTGTCATACATTTTGTCAGGAATTCAATTTTTGGAAATTACCGTAAGGGTCAAAAGTCAGGAGAGGCGATTTCAAGTTTAACGCATTCAACTTATTACTCCATATAATTTTCTTTTTTCAGTGCATGCTGCTATTATTGCTATCAATGAAGCATTAGATAAAGATGTTGTTGAGGAAACATTTTCAACATTACAAAATCCAAATGCTTGTCTGAATGGTATCACTCAGGACAATGCAGAAGAATACCAGAATAGATTGAAGGAAGCAAAACGTGTGAAATGTGAAGCGGCTCTGAGCAAGGTGGAATTTTAGTTAACAGATTTAATTTTTGATTTTTCGTTAAATTGTGTTTGTGTGGGATACTCGTCCCAGGGAGAGAAAAGCTGATAAGATGACCAGTGGGTATGTGAACCACCCTACGAGACAAAGAGACCAGGAATCCTCTCGCACATAATTATCTTCCTCTGGGTTAAAACCGCGAACCTGTTCATGGCAATCTGACTATCTGAGGTACAATAGCATGCATGTTCCCAATACTTGCACAATGTGGCAACCATCGGAATAGCCTGTGCTAAATTGAAACTATTTCGAATATTTTAGTTTAAATTAGTATACTGCAATTGAAACTTGAAAGTAATTACCGGTAAGACCAAACTTGTCACAAATCATTATTAACACAAAAAGTATCACTTCGAATGAAACAAAAAATTTTGAAAGAATATTTTAAACTGGAACATAATTTACTACTAAACGTATCAATGTGGATCAACAATTATTTTCATTATTGTAAATATTTAGTTGTCACTGATATAAATATTTTGAAATAATTTCACATCTTGACATCAGGATATACATTCATTTCAAAATGACGTGAGTAATGAAGAAATGATATGTTTGTTTATTTTAAATTATATGGTTTGATATAAATGTGATTGATGGCTTATTAAATTGTATTTGTTTAGTGAGGTTTTATTGGTAAATATGGAATTGTTTTGTAAGCATTTTTGGCAGATTTTTGTTGAACTGATTTATTGAGGAAGTATCTAGAGACGAACACAATACGTTCAGATGTCTTGATAAAAATTGTGTTGCATTGAAGTTCTAAAATTTGTTCATTATTTTCTACATAGTAGTATAATAGGCCAACTCATTTTGGTTTAACATTATTGGTATTAACGTAGTTATTAATCGTTCTATGGGTATTAATTTCAGAATTTTTATAACAATTGAGAAATATTAAATGATAAGAAATATTATGAATGAATCCTAGGATTTTTATATTTACCCAAGGGAGAGGAAAGTTTATATGACAGCTTGATCATATGCTGAACCACAACCTCTCTCGTCTGTTTACCAGTGCATGCTGGGCATTGGAATAGTTAACGAGTAGTTCCACATCATGGACTTGATAATGGGGGAGATCGTTGATGACCAGCGCTTACGTGAATCACTACGACAGTGACAAGTCCAGTAATCCACTTCTATATAATTATCCTCCATGAGATTCGAACATGCAAACTCGCATAGTGTAACCATAGGTGCGATGGTAATCATAATTCCAGTGCTTAGTTTGATGTGCCACACCTAAAATGCATGAAATTTGCACACTTCACTCTGTAGTGCTAACAGAAGCAGCCGGTTCATATTTTGATAGCCTCTTAACATTACCGGTATTGACTATATTTCTGTTTGGTTTGTCAACATAGACAGACGTTATTGAATGATTTGTAGGAGATGTGACCTAATGTTCATCCCATATGGTTTATTAGTCACCTATTATCACTGCATTGCCGGTTCGTTTACTTTACTTCATTACCGGCTCGTTTACTTTTTTTCTGTGTGATAATAAATCTTTTAAATTGACCAACTTAACATCATCCAAAAATTTGCCCTCTCTTTATTATATATATCATGTTATGAGTTTGTTAATGTGAAATAATATCAAAATAGTAAATCTGTCTCAGAAGGTAAATATTCTGTTTAAGAACATCTATTTGGGTTGGCGATACCGAATTTAAGAGATTTCGGTTCTGACAAAATTAGTAGGTCCACATCAGCGGCTGCCTGTGAAGTCTTGTTTGAAGTGAAAGGCATCAAAATGTTGTATAAAACAATGTACAAATATATTATAAACACAAATTATTCTTACACCATTGCATAATAATACTGCATTCGTTGACTGTGAGCTCAATTAAATAAGCAATTAATGGAAATATGAATTGATTGCTCAATTTTTTTTTCTGAATTTTTTGGATCATTCATGAGAAATGGCGATGATTGGTTCAAAATCAGAACCATGGCAATAATTCCAAGGGTTTGGTCATTCTCACCAAATTTTTGATATGTCATCTTCTTTATCATTTTTGCTGACCCAATTTGACTATTATGATCAAACTCACTTTTTGTTTGGTTTTATAAAACTTTTTCATATTATACATTTAGTCTAAAGATGATCTGGATGACAGAGACATCTATGAAGAATTGCTTACTCATGCTGAACTGCAAGGAAATCTCAATAAAATTAATTGTAAGTTTTTATAATTGACATATAAATTTATTATACATATGATATAGTGATTAGTTTTACCAATGTTCATACTGTTGTTGTTCAATTGTAGGCGTAGTTTGGGTAATGATATAGGCTATCATACCTTAGCACAGTGTTTCTAACCTATTGGTGACCCAAAGCTGGGACTCATGATAATTCTTTTGGGTCGCTTATTTCTTCAACAAACAGTTGTTGATTTTATTTTCTATTAAATTTTATTGTTTATTTTGTTTTTGGTATTGAATCATTGCTCAGTAGTAATTGTATGTGTGGGAAGTATCACCGCTCAAAAACTTGAGAGCATCTAATATCATTGGGTCGCAGAATTTGACAGATTTTTTTCAAATGTGTGCCGTTTAAAAAAAGGTTGGGAAGTGGGAACCACTGCCTAATTGTACATTTTTTCATGATCCGAATTTAAATTTTTTTATAATTGCACTAAAAATATTCTGCTATTATAAAGTTTGTTTGAACTATAATAAGTAAACGCGGGGCTGTAGTGTATCCTACTATGTTAATTATTCATTGTACTGTCATTGAATTACATTGTGATTGATTAAGCTGTAAATAATGATGATTGAATTACCGGGGCTCCAATCACTCCATAAATTAAACATCATTCCATCCAATTTCCAAACATTCATTCATTTTCTATGCTTATATGGGGAATCCTTGCACAAAGTAGTAAATTTCGAAATGTTTTTATAAATTACATTTTTGAACCTTGGGTGTCTCTGCTCGATAACCAGCTTTGGTTTTCCTGCAACTTGATATTTTTTCTTTACTGGTTGGAAAAAATAAACTTGACTTCACTTATCTCATACATACCGTACCCGGCTACCAGGTTACCACCTCAAGCTAAGTATAATTAATTTGGTAGGTGGATTCAGTGTCGAATCAGAAAGATTCCGGTCATTTTAAAACAAAGCAGCTTTTGGCATATCAGTGGATGCCTGTTTGGCAAATATACTTTAAGAGCGAAATAAATTCAATTTAATAGTTTCTTTATTCCCATCTTTTTGTTTTTGAAACATAAGTTTGGTTTTATATATTCTGGCACAGCATGTATCGAATTTCAAATTGGTGTGTCATTGTCTATTGTTAAAATTTGTTAATTTGATTTCTTTGACATCGATATAATTAAATTAAAAACATGACAATGTTTTGTAATTTAGCAGATAATTTATCTATTTTAGTATTTAATGCTATTATCATTGTGTAATTTGTTTGATCAACCATGGAATTATAGGAATATAACATTACATTTTAGTGGATGTAAAACTCGAAACACTGGCAAGAAGTCTTGCTGCTGGAAATGAAGAAGAATTGTTTGCAAACCTCAGAACCCTTGGAATTAATGATCTGAACGTTGAAAATAAGAAATGGTATTTGGAACAACTTGCAAATGCTTTGAAAAAGAAGAGAGAGGTATAAATTAATATAAATAACATGTAATTGGTTGTTGAATACCTTTTTACTCATTATGTTTTCAATACAATTACTGGTTTTGAATTCTCTTCTTTTTTGCTTGGAGTACCTAAATCATGATTCATTTTCGAATTTAATTTAGATTTTGAATATTCTGATATAATTTGTTTATCAGCAAAACATGATGAGGCATAAATTCTAATCTTTTGTACAATGGTGTCAAATTCATGCTTTTGAATTGGTAATTTTTATTAAACCTTTATTCCTGAAAGCAACCCCATTTCTATATTATATTTTGATCTGATGTGTTTGAGCATACTAAATTTATTGTATCTATTAACTGGAATGGTATTCTGAGCACATTATAAATTTTGATGAAAAAAATTGTGACTTTTACTCGTTAAAAATAAAAATATGCTTTTTTGTGAACTTTTTTATGGAATTGAGTCTGAAATAACGTCCTCAATAATATGGTATATAATAATTTGTAATGTATTAATTTCAGGAAACTGGTGATGAAAATGCAACATTGGACAAAGATGAAATTCAGGCTGCCATTAATGAAGCTAATATTCTCGCCATGAAACACAGACAAAGTAAGTTATGTGTGTGGTTATCTTTGTGGCCATCCGAGAATTTAGGTTTCCCTCAAATTTGATAATTTTGTGTCAATTTTGGCAAAGTATGCGTGGGTTGAAAGTCAAATCTGAAGAAGTATTTTAATTCGGTGCTCCCGAAGTATGCGAACCAAGATGGCGGACATCGGAACGTAACATGGGTAACAGGTTAGGGTTAGGCGATAATTTTTTTCCAATTTTCCCTATTTTAGTCCTATTATCAGTTCGAAGACTAGCCAAGAGCCTCCCGTAGTATTTATACCTAAAATTATGGCCTAACCCTAACCTAGTACACATATTACATTCCGATGTCCGCCATCTTGGCTCGCATACTTCGGGAGCCCCTTTAATTCTTTATTAATCTTAATGTGAAGAGGCTGCAAATTTCAATTGGATAAAAATTGGAAGTAAATTTGAGAAATATCCAGTAAACTGATAGTCATGGACTCATGGCATAGGCCAATAACATATATAATATGCTAAAAGTGTCGGTTCACAAATCTGCTTTCAGTCAAATCATAAAAATTGTCCATGATGTAACTGAAAAACGTCTTGATAATCAGTGTAGAATTGATTTTAATAATGTTCTTAATACTTGATTTTATTCTTAACAAGTAGGCTACTTGATTAATGCCTAAAATAGGCACATAACGAAACTAATTTTATGTTATTGCATATATGATGATATTATATAGTTCAACTTAGTATATTATTTATGCAAATATGTGATCCATCAAGTTTCTAGTCATTTCCTATGTTGCGGCATATTGAGAAGAGCAGGGGAATTTGCATTATTGGATTTAAATATCTAACAAGCAGTGTCTCTTGTGACAATGAATTTATTACATTTGAATAAAAGTACCGGTAACTAGTAATTTGGATATTTCAAAAATCTGATAATTTCTGAGAGGGATTGTTCGCACCTAGCATTTGCGTATAGAGAAATTAAATGCAACATCGAGTGTTTATTCATCTATAGCGGCTATAGTTGAACTATGGCCCATTGGGTCTTTCAAACCCACCTGCGATAAATTTGTGCTCTGAACAAATTCCATATTCACCGTTGTGTGTGATAATTCATGTATGAATGACATGCTTCGAGGTTTCACTATGTTCAAAAACATATCATGCGCATTAGTTGACTTCCTTGATTGTTGTTACACCAGTTAATCAGTGAGCTCACATTTTATACAACTTATTTCTGATACGCTGTCTTCATGAGTGACAATTTATTAAATCTAAAGGCTGGTCTACACCAGGTCCAGCGTAACCAACCTTTCAAGTACATAATTTTTTTCATAACTATAACTCGTCGACTATAACTATAATTTGTCTTTGCTGATCCAAAATTTAGGTTACTGATTAAAATATAACCTATTTCAATGTCTTTTTCCAAACTTAAGTGCTTGCTGCTGTGGCCGCTATTAATGATCTTCTACGAGAGGATGGTGATCCCCATGAAACCATGCAGGCATTGCAAAAAACGGAAGCTCAACTACCAGAAGTTGTTCCAGATTATCCATCGTTATACCATGATCAACTTGTTGAATTGAAGAAAATGAAAGAAGACCAACTTGGAGAAAATATTGTATGTTATGTAGATTATTGATTTTGAATATTAGAGACGTGAGCTTTTTTTCAAGGAAATTTGCTCAAAGCGGGGCCACGCACGTTTACTCGGAAATAAATGAGATTGATCTCATAGATTCAGCGCACGAGCACTAAAGTCACAACTGTTGTGAATTGTGATCATGTATATTCAACATACTGCGCCCTTTAGAAAAAAATATCATATTATTTGAAAATGACCATTTAAATAAATGTAACATCCATTAACATTTCAATGGCTTTGAAAAACTTTCCTTTAATATCTCTTCACCCCATATTTATTATATTTCATATTTTTTTAATTTTTGTTACCATAAATATTTTAATATTCTCTTTTTCTTTATTTTGAAAAACTAAATTGTTTTCATTTTTCCAGCTACTAACACACGATGACTTATCTTCTGTCATTCCACATTTGTCTGCATTGGCTCGTCTTAACAAAGCATTAGACATTGGTACCATTGAGGAAATTTGGACTGCATTGAATGATCCTGAAATTGGTGTCACTGATCTCGAAGAGTCAAACAGATCAAGAACATGTGTAAGCTTGCTAAAATTATTATAATTATTATGATACTGAGATGGCTAGATTTCCATTTTATTTAGGTATTTCGCAGCTTGTTATCCTCTTATATTGAGTCTTAATGTCATACCATGGTGAAAAAAAAAGGTTAGAATCATTCTTTACCCATTTGGGATTTGTTAATATAATAAATTTGTGATCTCATCTTCATCCATTTTTATCCCCCAACCCTCTAAATAGTTCAAATTGTAAGTAGATACCCTTTTTTTATATCAATATTGAAAATTATCTCTGGACAAAATATCGGTATAAGGGATAATAGTTTGTGTTGGTCGAGATCAAATCTACAATTTTTTGGGTGCTGTAATGGAATATCTGCAATGGACCGAGCTAATAAAATGGCCCCAATGGACCAAGCTCGAAAAATGTCCCCCAATATACCAAGCTGAAAAATTGCCCTAATGGACCAAGCTGAAAAAATCGTTCTCAAATTGACTTTACCTTTTTCGTTACAGGAAGCACTCAGGAAAGTGAAGGCAACAAAGAATTACTTGACATTGTTGGAAGTCCAAGAAACTGTTGTTGCTGTCAACCAACAAATACAAGAGGAACAAGACCGTAAGTTTGTGTAATATTTCCCTCATTTTACGCAAAGAGAACCGAAGGAGAGATGAAGGGCTCTTCCATCATCACTTTAGCCATCATGAACAGGCTATTTTGTCCTTAGCAGTGACTCAGAAAAATATGGGGTTTTAGGTTGCAGTGATGTTTCATATTCTTCGAACATCAACTTATATTGAGGTAATATCTAAAAAAAAAATTATTTATTTATATAACTTTATATTCACACTTTTTCTATACAGGTATCAAAGCAGTCAGCAGTCTTAATGATGCAATGGATAGTGGAGATGTTGATACAATGAAACAAGCCTTACTTGATCCCAAATTACAACTTGAAAATTTTGAACCAAAAAATCTTACGCACTATGTGAGGCTGCTACAGAAGAAAAAGGAAGAAAAGTCAAAGGTATGTTGGATTGCAGCAAAGATATTCGCACATATCAGTCCACTCAAACCTATGGAGATTACCGTATTTCTCTGTGTATAATACGCACTTCCGGTTCCGGATTTCATCTCCAAGATTAGGGGGTGCGTATTATACATTGGTATAGAAGATTTTCAAAATATCCTGATCGATATTTTACACGCGATTGCCAAATACACATTTTTCCTTTTCGTCTTATTTCTATTAATTTTATGTGACAAAGTCTGTTATTTGATTATGAATAGGAATATAGTTGGCTCTCATAATGAACGTTCATCTGAGTTGGAATATTTGTCTTATTATCTTAGAATATCGCTTTGTGCTGTTATGTTCCACTTTAAAGGGGAATTAGTTATATGGGCATAATCAGCCTTTATGTAAGAATCAACCATTTATGTGTTACCTTGAATTCTTGAATCAAGTCATCAAATTTAATAACCATGCTTATATTTTCCATTTTTCTTTGCACACAGGAAACTGGCGATCCAAATCCTGCATTATGGATAGAAGAGATTCAAGGATGTATTAATGAAGCTAACAGACAAACACAAATTGCTAGAAAACGTAAGTCTTTAAATTTCTCAATATGCAGCTGAACATCCTGCTTCATTCAGTTCCCCTTTTCTCTGTTGATTATGACGTTTTATCAGGTTATCAGTTCAGTGTGTGCAATGTGAATAGTTAACTATTCCATTGTACCAGATGATTAAATTTCGATGAAAGAGAAAATCGTAATGTATGTTTAAGAATAATTGATTTCCATGACAATGGCCAATCAGCAATAAGTCAATTATGACATAACAATTGAAATTTGTGAAGCCGGTTAAAGACTTCTTTTGATCATACAGATATACAAGCATGGTTGTAAACATTGCCCCGTTTTTGTGGTTTCGTGTGTTATTTGTCAGTTTTCAGTTATGTTGCGAATACAAGCTGTAAATAAATTAACTTGATTGTCATTATTTCCAATGACAAAGAACAGTGAGAATTTTTCTTGGGTCAAGGGTCGGGGAAAAACATTCATTGACCAGTGATTACATGAACCATCCATGAGTGTTAAGTCCAGTAATCTCCCCACGCATGATTATCCATATTATACCTCACAATATCTGAGTAGTGTTTGATGCCAATAGTCTAATTAATATATCCTTAGTATGATTCATCAGCCACATTCTATTCAATATCAACTCTTTTTTTTCTTTCCATTATATTTAATTTGATTTGATCTTCATTTCACAGAGGTGTCAGCTGTAACTGCAGTTAACATTGCTATCGAGGGAGATGACTGGGAACAAACATTTGAACTTATCAGACATCAAGATCTCGGACTTTCATATACAATACCTGAATGTGCTCAAACTTATCATGAACAATTGCAGGAGATAAGAGAAGATAAGGTTGAAGAAGGTATGATATGCCATTATTATTTTAGATTGTAATTCTACATGGTAATGTAAAAATGTGTTTGTTTTAAAGAATCTTATCATAAAAGGTTTTGGGTGTCTGAATAAAAGTTTGGAAACTGTTTTCTAAATAATAGATAGTTTTTAGCCAATCGACTATGTTAATAATTCATTTAAGTAAAGTCATGCGCACCTACTTGGAAGTGAAAGAGACTGATCCCTGATTAAAATATATTGATATACTGTATGTCAAATTAATTTTAGAATTTCCTTGTTTATCAAATTGTAACTTATTCAAATGATGGATAGTGTGCGCGAATCGCAAAATGTTGGAAGACACTTGTTTTTCACTCGATGCGACAAGATAACCTAATGGCATACAAAAAATACCTGCATATGTTATGCGGTGTATGCAGTATAGTATTGAAAATTTATAATATAAAGTAAAAGTATGTGATTCCAGTTTTGGGTTCGTTACAAATTTTAGCATAAATTTGCACTAAATTTTGTTCCTACTTATCTTGCTGTGCGTCTGTAAAAGTCTGTACGTCCTGACAATGACTTTGCTCATTTCGGTCAACAACTTTTTTGATACCAGGTGGTATTTCGTAATTAGGAAATGTATCTGCTTCTATTTGAAATTTAAAAATTCCTTAGCATTTTGTTAACATTTTGACTGCGAATTCCTTCCTACTCTATATTATATGTACTGCAATCTACTATATATATGTACTGTGGCAAATGACAATGTTTTCTATTTCTGACCTGGTTGTTATTTATTTACTACAAGGTTGCAAGGATGAGACGTGGGTGGCGTACGAAACACAGGAAGGATATAATTATTATTTTAACACTGAAACCTTGGAAGGTAGCTGGGATGCACCTGATGAACTGAATGAAAATCCAGCACAATTGACAAGAGATGAAATCAAGGTTTTATATTGCTCTAGTTCTTCTCAATAGGGAATACATATTTTTCTATGTATATTTGTTATCAAATTTTAGACCATGAGAAATATTTATTCTCAGATGATGTACATTACAATAAGGGATATCAAAAATAAAGGGTGATACAAAAAAAAGAATCCATAAATTTCTGAATTATTCTAAAAAAATGAAAAAAATTCTTTCAGTATTCTAGGACACTTTGCACGAAAGTTGTGTTCTGTCTAGCTTAGAATATGTTTCAAATGACCTGGGTTTTGTTTTATTAATCACCCTGTAGAATAAATTAGTCTGAAATATATTTTGATTATGAAATGACAATTTTTAAGTTGTCTGAAGTTAATTGAATAATTTTTTTGTTTGACCATGAGAAGTCAAATGCATAAAATAACAATTTTGCAGATAAAAATATTCTAGATCAAGTATTTTTTATATCAAATATAACAAATTTAAAATTAATTTCAATATTATTTATAAACATTTCATAACAAAGTGTGTAGTAATGTCTGTTATGCTTTGTATTTTAAGAAGAATATATTGTATATGCTTGTACTTGTACCTTGTTTTTAAGGTATAGCAGCTGTTTTAAAATTAAATTTGCTATTTTTAACTTTTGTTATATTCTTCTAGGAATGTGTTGACATGGTATCTGCTGCATATGACAGAGCACAGTTATGGAGAGATAATGAAGATGTCATTATTAAATTACAATCTTTCAGTCGCATGTATTTGGCTAGAAAAGCCTATAAAGATAGACTTGCTTATATTGAAAGCCAGGTAAGCATAACCAAATTGATCAGCAAGTACGGTAGTTAATAAAACGTGGATCCGTAAAAATTCAAGTGTATTATATTGGAACTTGTACTTCGGAGTATTTTGGATATGTTTGGTAACCGTGTTTTCTTTTTTAATGTGATATAAAAAAAATATAAAGAATTTAATCACATTTTATCCAATTGGAGTTTTTTCTACGATTGACATTTAAAGTCTTTGTTCCATAATTCGAATACCCACAACCAAATGTCTCAAAAATCAGTATGCCTTGTCCTTGTATTTGGAACATGATTATAAATAATAGTTTAGATTAGTGTTCTTCAAACTCTCTTCATTACGACCCACTTGGCACAGCGACCCCATGAACTAAAATAAATATATTGTTAAATTTATTTATACAGCATAAAAATAAAAAAAATTTCCACAATACCTTCAATGAAATTGATGTGCTTGCATATTCTCGCACAAAAGGTCAAATCTTGGTGATGATGGTTACTGGTTTCAAATCTTTCAAATTTGATCAATATTTTGTTTTTACATAGGTTAGTGTCAAACAATATTTTACCGCGACCCCAATTGAGTTCTTTCGCAACCCACCATAAATCTCCAATTTGAAGAGCCCTGATTTAAATTATTAATATAGCTATGAGTTTCAACATTTCTCTCCTCATTTGCACAACAGCTTCCTGCCATCATCATGATACAATCACACTGGAGAGGATACGTTCAACGTTCCAAATATCTAGATAGATTGGAATACTTCAGAAACAATATTGCAACTATTATTAAGGTTAGAAAAGTCATGTTGTTTGTATTTCTTATCCATATGTAGAAAAGTAAAATTTTTCTTGGCAGTGTCGATTTTATTGAAATTTACTATCTTTAGACTTATTAAGTAAACATGTTATATATTTTTATATGAGCTACAAAATATATGGCCAATGCTCATACATACGATGTAATTGCCCTCATTTAACAATGACTATGTTGCAACGAATGCAATGGTGCACCAAAATGTTTCGGATTCAGAATTTATATCAAATCAAACTGCTTTTCGTATATTTAAATAATGGAAAGAGAGTTCATAGTAGAATTCGATTCAACACTTTTTACAAGTGTACAAAAATATATATCACCATATAATGTTTTTCCCTTTAACCCCATAAAGTTGGAGTCAGATTATCAAGAATGTTAGAGAATATTTTTACTAAGCAGATTAAATATACAAAATTAATCCGGTATTTTAGAATTTATTATCAAACTTTTTCAACTTTTTTTCAAAAAGGTTTAATCGCTAGCTTGGTTAGGTTTAAAATATTTACATACAGTAGTGATTTGCTGTCTGCAATAGTCATTTTTTAACAACTGTTTCTTTTCTTGTTTAGTTGCAAAAGTGGGCTCGTATGTGGCTTGCTCGTTCAAGATACAAGACTAGACTTGAATATCTTGCTAGCAATGTAAGTTTTTGTTTCGTAGTATTGTGTAATTCGTAACCTATTGTGTATTATTCTATTACTAATAAAATATCTTTTATATTCTAGGCACGCCATATCATTCGTATTCAAGCTTGGTTCAGATCAAACAAGGCGAGACATGATTATAAAACGCTGAGTATGTTTGTTATTTGTTTTGTTTCTTTGAAAAATATCTAACAGGACTAAATATAATTAGTCCTGTTTAATTGCATTACAAAATATTGTCAGAAGATTTTGTCAGAATCAGGGATGTGCAGTTGGGGAAAATTAATAATCCTCCCACTGACTCTCGGTAAAGTAAATTTTGATAGTGATAATGATAGTTTTGAAAATTGATTCCCACTCTAGTGAAAACATGCTAATCTCCGGTTCTGTACTCCAAATCCGTAGCCCTGGGGTGATATTCTTCACAATATTTAACACAACGATTTTTTGTCTATACATTTGTTATCATGTCTTCAAAAGTATTTCTGTCATCTGGGACAGCAGTCAAATACAGTTACGGGACCGTAATTGTATAAATGGTTTATCACTAAACTGGCACCGGTACTGGCAACTTGCAGATTTTGGTTTTGTTCACGTATTTGTCATTTCTATATTTCCAGCTGGAGCTGAGAATCCACCATTAAGTGTTGTCCAAAAATTTGTTCATCTGCTGGACCAGAGAGACAAAGATTTTGCTGAAGAAATTGGTATGTTATGGGCTTATGGCATCATAAATTATCTAATATTTGTGAATAAAATTTACCGTATCCGGATAGAGACCGATTACCTCATAAATTTATAGAAATTCGCATATAGGTTGACCCTACAAATCGTAACACGTCTTACGCACCTATCACAGCAAATAGTTGCGAAAGAGAATTAATGAAAATGATAACCATTATTGTTATGTTTTTTGTTTATAAATAACGGTAAGAAGTGTCTCAAAATTCTTCAAATTCAGCGATCATGATCATGACAACCAATCACAGACTGTTACTGCTGTCATAGCATACCAAGCGCTGCTATGTGTGTGTGCGTGCAGGTTTTTATCATGAGAACTTGGTTCATGGTTCCATGGTTTGAGTTGTAGCTACTATAAATTAGGTTTTTAGTGTGGTCAGAGTTATGCATGTATAAGTCGACCCCTTAGTTTGACAACTTTTTTTTTAGTTTTACACTCAGCTTATATGCAATGATATACAGTATTTACATTATTTTTCAACTGCAAACTGAAGCCATCTTTTTGTATTTCAAATGGCAAGAAAGTCGTTAGACTTATATAGAGATTGTTTTAAGTGCTGCCTCTTGATAGTGATGGGAGAATGATTAAATTACAACACAAGCACATTCATTTTTAGAATTACAAGAATTAAAGAAGAAAGTTGTTCAATATATCAAGTCCAACAATGAATTAGAAACTGCTTTGAATACAATGGATATCAAGATCGGTCTCCTCGTCAAAAACAGAATCACATTGCAGGTATGGTCATTGCACATTTAGTGTGTGTATTATATTAACCTCCCAAAAAAGTTGATTGCTGTAAATCAGTAGTCGTGAAAAATTCCTTGGTTTTTGCCTGTCATATTTTCTAAACTGAATTAGATCTTATGATGTACTGCATGTGAACTTTATCAATTACTATTGACTGCTAATTTAAAAAATAGAATATATGCCAAATTGGCCTTGCTTCAATGTAGAAATTTTCACAAACATATACATAGAGATGGAATAGGATTTTGCAGAGAAGAAAAACTTTATTCTGGTCTTTTTTTCTGTCTGATGCCTATCTATCTAATCCTTTTTGGTACCTTTTTTTACCTCTCTTTGCTGATACATATGATAGATAATTTTGACGTTTATTCTGAGTTTTCATTTAACCTTGTATTGATATTGGTATAGGATGTGGTAAACCACAGCAGAAATCTTCGTAAAAAGAAGGAACAACAGGCATCAGAAATATCCAGTGGTTTGAAATCACTGAACAAACAGAACAGAGTCAGACTGGAAGCATATCAGCATCTATTCTACCTTCTACAGGTAAAATTTATATTTTTGGAATTATAATTCAAGTCTATTAAGTTTTATTTCAGGAAACAGGATATTTTACACGATGCTATGTTTCATTTCAATGGGCTTTCATATGAATCTAATTAGGGATGTCCAAAACGAATCGAATATTCGGATACATTCAAAATACATTAGATTCGATATGATAATTTTTTTAATTTTGGAATAATTCAGTACATTTTCATTTAAAAATAAGGATTTTGTACAACATCTCAACTGGTAACAAGCAATACAGAGAAAACAACGACCTTTTATATTTGTGTCGTTTCATATATGTTCATATTTCGTTTTTATGATTAGCAGTCTCATCACGATTTCAATTTTCTATTTGAAGAATTTTCTCACTTTGTAGCTCATTGTAGGTTATTTTCTTTTCTTACTAATTAATTGTTACTGGTGACATTGGTTTTTTGTTTGTTTACTGTGTGACCCTCCCAAATTATAAGATCCAGATGTGAAATGTTTTATATATATGGAAAAAAAATTTTCACTCCATAATGTATTTAATTCAAAAAATTCCTATTGACATTTTGTGCCATACTTTATACACGAAAATTCTTTTCTTTCTCAGACCAATCCAACTTACTTTGGAAAATTGATATTCAAAATGGCGTCTGGTCGAACAACAAACTTCATGCAGTCTGTCATTCTATCTGTATATAACTACGCAGCTAATGTCAGAGAGGAATATCTCTTGCTCAAGTTATTTAAGACTGCTCTCCAGGAAGAAATAGAGTGAGTATAATATACTCCTTTATTTTACTACCTAATTATACTGTAATGCTAATAGACATTAAACAGGGTTTGGACCTAGCCATTAACTCACAAGTACCAATGCGGCTTGGCAGTGTGGTCATCATTCTAAGCGTTAGGAATACACTTGCCTCTGATTACATTGTAGAAGTTTGGGGGTTCAAATCTTGTGGAAAATAATTCTGTGCGAGAGGATTGATGGACTCCTCAATGTCGTAGAATGGTTCATTTAACCACCACTGTTCCGTTACGGCTTTCTCTACCATCAAGTCCATTTATCTGAAACAAATTACTGGCCAGTTACCCAATTTTATCTTTCCCCTGAGTTGTTCCAACCCTATTAGATTATTATTATGTGTGCTTGGTCATTGGTATGCTGTTTTGGATAATGTGTTGCTGAATAGTAATCAAGTACCAAAACAGTTTTGCAAATAAATTCATTTGTTTATTTCCGTGATTGGTATGCCTGAATATATTTCTTAGTTACTGATAATAACTGTTCAATTCCATTGGAATAGATAGAATAGTTATTTTGGAGATAAATTCAAGAAGGATGGTTATCTGTTATGTGATAAAATGATTCTGATTCTAAATTATTGAATAACTTCAAACTAATACTAATAAAAATAATCATTTTTTCAGTTAGGTTGATTATGATTTTTTTATTTGAAAATAAACAAAGGAAATCATCAAGTATGTAGGAGGTCAAAATTTGAATGCCTTGCTAAGCGTGAATATTGCTGTAAATCGTTTTGATATTCAGCAGAGTATTTCCACAATTTTACTGCAAAAACGCTAAATTATCTGAAAAACACTAATTTTGATGGTATGTCTCAAAATAATTTGGATTTAAAGTGTTTTTACCTAAATTTTTCAGGCGCTAATATTTGACTTGTATGCATTCTGGTTTATACTTGAATTGGAGCCATATTAGAAAATATGAAGTTGAATGTATAATAGCCATATTTTCTAAACTGGTTGAGTCAAAGCGCAAAAATAATGATACAAGAACTGACCAAGGCAATCTTCTGCTACTAAATATGCAATGATTATTTTGTTTTCCACTGACCGTTTTATAACTTTCTTTATTTTACTAACGAGAATAATTTTCACAACATAGATTTATCAGTCGTGCATCAGATGGTTCTGAATTAACAGCGGCGTAAGTAGAAAAATCATGCAAATGATAAGCGGTTGCTGTGATTGTCATGCGAGTGCTGCTTATGCCATTTTGTTGCTGTATTTGATTTTCAATATTATTCTTTACGAAGCTTGTTTTTTCCATATTTGGCAGTTTTCAAGGCTTTGTGAGTGTTTTTAACTAAATATTTTGTAAAATGCAGTAATGAAAATTTTATTATACATATTGGACAATGCCATTAGCATACTTTCCAAGCTATTATGCTATTGCAGGTTGCAGAGTTGGGGTTCACTTACTTTCTGTTGATCTGTTATCCACTTCTAAGCAGGAATAAAAATGTCATCAATTTCATTTTTGGTATTCACTGATACTTTGATAGTACCCTGACCAATTTCCATATTGTGTTTATTTAAATCTAAATTTGCCATTGTCATCATCAATGGAGTTGACCTTAATGCATCAATTCAAAAATGTAGCGCCTCTGAATTCAAAGTACTGTATTGTTTTAGTGTAATCTTTTTTATGTAATTTATAAACTTGAATGTGGGTAAGAAATGCTAGAATGACGACCAGTTCTCGAACAGTGGGTCATGGCCCACTTCTGGGCCACAGAATAATTTTCAGGTGGGCCACAAAACTAATAAAAATTTATTGATAAACTAGTTGAAATTTGTTTAAAATGAATGATGCTGCTGCTTTTTGGCTCTGGGTGGCACTTTATGTGGCTCAAAATCCTTCAATCTGCAATAACTTAATACAAGGCGAGCATACTAATAACAATTATGCTATTATCCTATATGAGCAATAATGCGACGGCTGGCTAGCAATCACTCACATGAACGCATGGCACACACATTTGGGAATGACGCACCGCAATCAATATATTGTATTGTGTGCTTGACTGGTGTGTGTCGGTGTGTGATATGGTGTATGTATGTATGTATGTATGTGTATGGTGTTCGTTTTCTATTTATGTAGAAATTCACAAAATAGCATCATCAGATCTTGGTGACGGAATTCTTTTCTTATTATTTCCAAGCAAAATGAAACTATTTTGCTGTATGCTTGCAATTCGTCATTACTATACAAATTGGAAATTTCAAGAAATTTTTGTATATTTGAAGCTTCTACTAATGGCATTTCACAGTAGTAGCACTCCTGGTGTTTTTATTATCACATCTATTATCAGTGGAAATGTTGAATAAGTTCTTACGGATCTTTGAAATTGTACGATATATGAGTTTGACTGTGGGAGTGTTCAAACATTTCAATTTTATATAAAAAGAAATTGATTCGTCAAAGGACTTATTTGACACTCCAATTTTAATTTGTGAAATTTGCTTTTTCCCGTAATTTTACTTAACAAAATTTTTTATACATTATACTTTTGTTGAAAAACACCGTTGTTTTTGCTGCTTTCACCAAGTTATTCAGGGATCTCAATGGTCATACCAAATAAAGGGTGTCCCAAAATGAAGGAAATTCATTAATACGATCACCAATTATGTGGGCTCATTTCATTTTGAAACACCTTATATATATATATATATGACTGATTGATGAAGGGAATTTACGGTGGGTTGTGGCATAGCCGATCAATGATGATCAGAAGCTGAATAAGCTTTAGTATAGTACATTTATTGTATATGTTTTTCTGTATCATTTTTTTGTTTGATGTAATATAAAGGTCATCTGCTGTCAGTCACACATCGGAACCAAGGTGAAATTGGATGAAAAAAATAAAATAAAACAATTGAAATAAATTGTTTTTTCTTGATTACATGATTAGACCTGGGCTTGTGATATGATTGTTGGAAAACCGCTTCAATCTCGAAATGGGCAAATTGATTTGCATAAAAAAGCTAGTTTTGTCTGATCATTTGTAAAAAAAAAATTCAAGTTAAAATTAAGAATATCAATTCAATAAATATTTCCGCTATTGTTTGAATAAATATCACATCTTTTCGCAATAGATCATCAAGTCTTTTCAATTTGAAAATTTGGGATCTAAAATGTATATCTAATATTATACACCAAATTTTGTCAAAAAATTACAGATGAGTTTCCAGATCGTTGTCCAAGCCCAGGTCTATTTCTTATGATTAATATGAAATGAATCACGGATGAAATCATACTTAAAATCAAACATAAATATATGTGATTATTCATAAGTATCACTATCTATGATTTGTCAGTTATTAATGTGAGCTTGAATGCCTATCACTTCTAGGATTGAAACTTACAAGGACGTCTATTTCAAAAAGTAGAGTTTTTTCTAATTCTTATTTAAATGCAAACATATTTTAAACTTGAATATATTAAATTCCGGTAATATATTGTTGAAAAAGCAGAAATGATTTTATTGCCATTTTGGCAGTTTATGCTATGTAGATCAACCGAAGGACCCAACCGAATAATTCAGTATTTCGAATACATTCTAAAATAATCCTTTCAAATATCGAATATTTTCTAAAATGGGTCTGCTTCAAATAATAAATTCTTCAAGACAATTGTAAATTTGTAGAAATCAAAATTAAGTCATGCAGAATAATTGAGATAAAGATTGTTTTAATTAGAGTTCTTTGTTTTATTTTGTCAGTAGTTGCTAATTTTTTTGTATATCATTAGATAATAAATCCTTAAAAATACATTTTCAAATAAAAATATTCCAAGCTATTCCTAAAATCAAGATATTAGTAAATCGAATATATCCAATTTTGAATGTATTCGAATATTCGATTTGTTTTGGACATCCCTGATTTAAATTGGTGGTCATCCTTTGAAACTTTTGTTTTATATTTCCAAGTTTTTCCTTTTTTAAAGATTCACTTTCACTTATTTCCTCTATTGGGAATAAGTCTTTTTCTAAAATTAATATAGAATTTGAATATGGACTAATCAGAAATTGTATATCGGTAACTGTAATTTTCTGTCTTGGTAACGGATTACCATTCTTTGATTCTTTGTAGTACATAATATGATGTATGGTAGTTTTTATTCATGCAATGGCCTAATGGTAATCAGGAACTGTATTTTTCTGGAATTCAAAATATTTCGACAAAATGAAAATAAATTTAATTGATAAAAAATCTTCAAGATTTTCTAGGTTTGAGAAAAATTTTTTTTTAAATAAAATTGGGTTAATTTTTAAATATCTCCCAAATTTAATCAATTTATGTCGACAAAGATGATGAATCAAAGATGTTTTGAAATCTTTTGTTTCTCTGCTATCATATTTATATTCCTTTGCTTCCCAGCTGGCAATTGTTCAAAATATTTCTGAATGCTATATTATATACAGGGCGGGCTAAAAATAGTTTTTGACCCTTCCTATATATCATTCTCTCCATTCTACATTTCGACTCTAAATTAACGAGCCATCTTCTATTTTCACATATTATATACTATTCTTTATTCAAATTTTTTCCAACTTTCGTATGTAAAGTTATCAGCCTTTTAGCTCCAAACCTGATATCTTATGCAATATTAAATATTCATAGAAGTAGATAATTTCGATTTGATCCATTGAACGAACTTCATGTAGAGACATTTTTCTATAGCATTCTGTTGATTACAAAATGCGTTATATTTTCTAATTCAAACTTAGATTTGTTGAATATACACACAAATTTAAGTGATTTGATCATCTCATTAGTATAATTTAGTATTCAGATTATAGCAAAACAAGGAAAATCATTTGCAATTCAACCTTTCTTACCAAGTACTTTAGACCGCTTTAGGCTACATTCACGCTTAAGTATTCTATCCTGATACTATTGCGCGGTTCAGATCTTGCCATATGTTTCGTATGTTAAAAAAAGTATTGATAACATTTGCTGTCGTTATTTTATGATTAAGACCTTATTGACCTCTATTTTATCAGAATTGTATATCAATAAAATAATAAAATAGATCACCATCGATAAACAAGTCCTAATGCTTATCTTATCTGTATCTTATCTCAAATTTCATCTTTTCTTCCTTATCTTTCTTTTCTGGTGATTATGATGATGTTCTTACATTTAATTATAGCTAGAAGTAGTCCTGTATTATATGTGATATATTTGTGTTATTTGTAAAATTTATTATAGTATATACAATTTTCATAAATCTATCTGTTTCACAAATTTCAGATCCAAAGTTGACAAAGTGAAGGAAATTGCCACTGGTAACCCACTTGTTATCAAGATGGTCGTGACCTTCAACAGAGGCTCAAAGGGTCAAAGTTCTTTGAGAGAAATCTTGTCACCACAAGTAAGTTGGTAGACTACATATCATTCAATAGCTCAAAAACAGTCACTGTGTGTTCAATTCAGTAATGTAGAGTGTGGTATTATTTATTTATTACAAAACACATCTCTCAATGTATGTGAATGGCAACAAAAACATTTCTCAGGCAATGCTTTTCAAATCCTTGGGTAAAAATGAAACCTATGGAATCCTATTTGTTATTTATTAAGAATACCTAATCTCTTTACACAAAATATCAAGTATATTTGTACTCTTACTTTAGTTTATAGCCTAACTTCTTCTGACAAAATAAGCTATAACCTAATCAAACAGCGCTGTTCGATTAAGTTATATCTCGTTTTGTCTGAATAAGTCAGCGTATGATAAGTATGGTCTAATCTGTTCTTGTTAGACTTTCTTTTCTCCTTGTTGTGAAAAAAAGTTTTTCTTATTGACTGCCGAACCAATTGCTTTGAAATTGTTGTCAGTAGTTGAAAATTGTATTTATTGCTAGAAGGGTGTTACTTTTATTTATTTAAAAAATGTCTGTGGGCACTAGGGGATTTGTTGTTTGTGGCGTCATCAAAATTCAAGCGCTTTGTGACGGTTCCACGATCGTATTAGTGGTCAGGTGAAGTCATGAAGATGTCGGTACCGGTTGTCTACTGTGACAGATTGCATATCCGTATTGCTTAGTTTTGGCCTTCATGTCCATATATTTCAGCAGCGCTCTCTTGTTGTTAATCAATTCCAACGAAAATTTAATCCAACGCTCATTAAATACCGTGTATGCTCGTTTTACCGCCCGATCTTGATTAAGGGCCCGTTTGAATAGCCGCCCGTGTGAACAGAACATAAAAATAAATAAGGTCCGGTGCTTGAATACCCGCCCGATGTAAAAGCTGATTTTTCAGTGGTAGAGAACAATAGGAAATCAAAAGCGCTTTTGTCACAACGCTGTTGAATTTTAAGCGTTGGTAGATAACACTCACGTCTTAGGCGTCCACGTACATAACATATAGCATTGATTACGTAACACCATGGTTCTCAAACTGGGCGTCGCGACACCCAAGTGCGTCGTTTTAATATTGATAGTGCGTCGCAAAACTTTTCTTCTTTTGCCGAAATGTACCTGCGGTGCGTAGAAAAAGTCAAAATTTTCGTTATTCTCATTTAAATCATACTTGAGAACTGGAAATAACAATATATATATTAATTATTGTAACGATCGAAAATAACAAGCGCCCGTGCTTGAATAAGGGCCCGGTTAGTGAGTTGGTTGAAAAAAATATGGGCCCGGGCTACAAAACGAGCAAATACAGTATTCTAATTTATAATTTAACTCTGTTTTCAGGTTCAATATGTTATGAAAGACAAGGCATTGAACATAAACATGAGTCCAGTTGAAATATACAAAGCATGGATTGGTCAGAAAGAAACAGAGACTGGTGAAGCCAGGTAAAGTTGTTAATTTGTAGTTGAAGAACAGAGTGAAAATTCTGTACTTGGATAAGGTATTAGGCTTATTTATATGGGATTAAATAATGCTTAAAATTTGATTTCTACTACATTTCGGAGCTGAAATTAAGATTCAGAATTGAACTTTCCATCATTCGGTTGTCTGAGTGGAAAAATTTTCGATCTAAAGCCAGAGACAATTACTATTTTTTCAGACTCTCCAGCTGTCAGCTGCAATGACCGTGTTAGATTATTGTATATCCTTGTAGAAATGTCACTTTTGCTTTTTCATAAACCAATTTCACTCTCAAATTTGATTAAAAATGCACTCGCATGTCCAATCTAAGTTTCTTTTTCTGCCGTTTTTTCATCATTTTTTCAAACTCTAGTGATTTGCCATATGAAGTAACAACAGAGCAAGCTCTTCAGCATGATGAAATCAAGAAAAGAGTAGAGGATTCAATTGAACAACTTCGCCTCGTTACAGAAAAATTCCTCGGAGCTATTCTAGGTTCTGTTGAAAAAATACCGTAAGTTTCTACCAATACCTCGAATGTTTGTCATTCAGAATTGCTTATATTATACAGTTTTTTTTCAAAGTTTTAAGTTTTGTTTCATATATGAGTGTCTTCAATTTGCATTGAAGAATGCATTTATAGTGAAAAAACAATAATGTGGGGTGGGGGATATAATTTAGTATAGATCGCACTTTTTCATTTATCAACTCACTTTTTGAATAGTATAAAAATCAAAACTGCTATGCTGAAATACACCTAATGGTATGTTTTATAATAATTATTTAAATTATTAATTAAAATCATTATTTTTAATTATGAGAAGTATAACGGTTCTATGAATTGTTTTAGTCATATTTTTCTACTCTAAATAGATTGCTAATAATATAACTTTTTGTTTAACTTGGCCTGATTTATTTCAGATATGGGCTTCGATATATTGCAAAATGCTTGAAGAATTTGTTGAAAGAAAAATTCCCTGATACGCCTGAAGATGAAGTGTTGAAGGTTAGTGATGAAAAATATATTTCAGCATATTCTAAAATGTTGATTTCGTTAATAAATGTATAAAGTTACCGTATATGGCGATTGTGCGATCTACTGTTGTGTTCATCTTCCCTGGGATAAATATGTTAATCGTTATATCTGAGTTTAAATAATACAGTTATATTACCTGAGTGATGTTTTAGTTCCTCTCATCATATTACATATAACACTCAGTTGGATATTCACTGCTCTGTGTTATAACTGGCAGTATATTTTGAATTCGATTAAATTAGTGGATGATATGAATTTCAGAAGACATTGATCTAAATATGAAAACCACACCAAACTAATCCCGAGTTCATTTTTTTAGATGGTTGGAAACCTGATCTACTACAGATACATGAATCCTGCTATTGTTGCTCCTGATGGTTTTGATATCATTGATGTAACTGCAGGAGCTGCAGGGTTAAATGCAGATCAACGCCGTAATCTCGGTTCTATTGCAAAAGTACTTCAGTTTGCAAGTACAGGAAAAACGGTAATTTACATTTTTTTTATTTTACATCCTCTATCTGAACAGTTTATATTCCCTGTATTAACGATTTATTTGACACACAGTGTACATATATGAGTTTTTATTATTATATTGTTCCTGATATTGTTAGTCAATTGCTTAATAATTTTCTGTGAGTAAAGATTGTATTTTTTGCTAGAAGTCTATTACTTTTGTTTGTTTCAAAAATAACCATCGGATTCGTTTTTTGTGTGCGATGACGTCATCAAAATTGAAAAATGTGCGCGATGCCATGAATCTGGGACTGAGTTTCAGCAATTTCTTGATCAGACTACCGGTACTGTGACAGATTTGACTCTACTTCGTTTTGGGCTTCGTGCCCATATATATGGCTTTGTTCATTTGTCAGTTATTGAAAATAGTGCTAACAGTACACGGTAAGTTATTTGACGTAGATGACTCTTCATCTGAGAGGAAATAAATCTGCTTAACTCCAGTAATTATTTGCTGGCTAACTGTCAGCTTGTTTAGTTTGAAAATAAAGTAGAAATAGTTTCATTATTACCACGGTTTTGGTACGTTATTTGGTAAATTCCTCAATTTCTATCATCAATTCGATTTTATATATTTTTTAGTTTGCTGGTGACATGGAACATTTAAAATCAATCAACAAATATCTAAGTGAAGCATATGAAAGATTCAAGTAAGTGAATTAAAAAAAATTTCAAATTTTCTTGGTTTTGGTATGAATGATTGCTGTATTGGACATCAAGTTTGATTTTTAGACAAATTTTAGGAATAAAAACGTTCTCAGATATAAACATTTGAGTGCTAATGTTCTATTTTACTTCTGCAGGAAGTTTTTTGCGCTGGTTTGTGAAGTTCCTGAACCAGAAGAAAAATATAACATGGATGAATACAGCGATGCTGTTGCCTTGAGCAAACCTGTTATTTTTATCAGCATAAGAGAGATTCTTGATACACACAAGGTGAGGTATTCAAAAGTTTTGAAAAAATCGAATGCTAGACAATCTGTGATTGTGCATTATATTTACTATTCTATTATGAAACTCTTATTCTTCAGATGTCATTAATGGCATCAAAAATTGTATGCCGCTGAAAGGTTGAAAATGTATAGCAAATTAATGGCCAGACATAAGCTCTCAATTTTTGAGTTGTCTGAGTGTCTCAATATCTTTCTTGACTCGGAGATGTGGCACATCGTGCGGAGCGTTAAGAATACGCTTGCCACAGCACCTCTCATTACCCTGCTTAAGTTTGTAAGCTTGAATCCTGTAAGGGATAATTAATTGCGAGGGGATTGCCGGACTCCACATTAATCCTACCGACTTTCCTCTTCCCAGGATATGTAAATCGGAAAGTTTAATATATCTTTAGAAAATCTTTTGTTATTATTTGTGTATATTTATGCTGGCACACTCACCATTTCGTTATGTATAGACTTTCACATGATTATTTGTTTCTGGTATTTATTAGCTCTTGCTTGAACATGAAGATGAAATTGCACCTGATCCAAACGATGCTCTTCATGAAACATTAGAAGAGTTAGGTGACGTTCCTGAGATAGCTCAACTTGTTGGTAAGATTTTGAATAAATTTGTAGCTTAATACTATTCAGTTGATTATTAATGAAGAATGATGTTAAATGTTTTGGAAAATCTTTTATGTTTTATGCTAATTCAGTTTGTTTTAAATTTTAGTAAGCATATGATTTTAATGATTCAATTATAATTTTTATGACCTGAAGTTTTTATTCAAATCATAAATACTGTACAGTCAGAGATGGCCGAAACCAGATAATTCAGTATTCCGAATACATTCAAAAATATTCTTTTCGCATACGAAATATTTAATATATTTTGAAATGGGTCTCTTCCACAAGAGAAATTCGTCAAGACAATTGTAAATATGTAGAAATAAATTTAATCATGCAGAATAATTGAGATAAACATTGTTTCAATTAGTATTCTCTATTTTATTCGGTCAAAAGGTACTTTTTTTGTCTATCATAAGATAATAAATGCTTAAAACGACATTTTCAAATGAAAATATTCTAAATTATCCCTCAAAAATTTACTCTATCGAATATAACGAATTTCGAACGTATTCATTTTGGACATCCCTGTTACAGTACGTCCCAACACCAATCGTCAAGACACCTGGTGTGCTGAATATATACATAAAGTACCTGATATTTTTTGTCATACTTGAATGTCTTGTAACAAAGCCAAAAATTTATAAACGGTTTCTCTCTTTTTTTTTGGAATTCGCTTATGTGTGAATAAATGTGGCTTTGTGCCATACTTGTTTACATTAAATTGTTTTACTTTCAACACTATTTACTTTGGTAACCTCGATCAGGTGTAACTCCTACTGCAAAAGCTCCTGCTGGGAAAAAAGGTAAAAAAGTTGTGTATGATGGTAACCATAATAACATAGCAGCTAACTAATTCATATGCACTATGAGATTAGTTTGTGCTGTATCATTCATACATAGCATATCATCATCTCGCACTTAGAAACTGACAATTCTCCTTTGAGATTTTAAAGTGCTTTAGGTGTATCTAATCTATCTAACTTAGTTGAAATTCAACTAATGGGTGCATGAACTATGCTCACATTTGTCTTTGGATATATGGATGGGTGTTGGTAATTATTGAATACTGAGATAGGGTAAAAAATAGCCGTGTTATGTTTAGGAAGTGAATGCTTTGCGATCTTGGTTTATAGATCAAACTAAGGTTCGATGGTGTGGCGCATCGTGCTGAGCATTAGGAATACGCTCGCGAGCGCACCTATGATTACCCTCCGTGGGTTCGCAAGTTTGAAACCCATACAGGAATAGTTATGTGCGAGAGCATTGCTGGGCTCCTCGTCATCGTAAGGAGGTTCACTTAACCCTTGGTCGGTTTACAGCTTCCTCCACCATCAAGTCCATACTTCAGAAAACAAATGACTGGTTAACTGATCCCATACCCAACATGGTAACTGGACGAGGGGTCGCTGTTTCAGTTTGCAATATTATTAAACCGTCTTATGGGCTTCCATTTCCCTGGGATAAATATGTAAATCCTATCCTTTCGCAAAGATAGAGAATGTTGGACAGGTTAAATAGATTTTCTGATTCTAAGAATCAAATGCATTCACTTCCTAAACTAAAACTTACTGTTTGGTCAACCATGTCTCATTTAACTAGTTTCTTACCAACACCCGGATATATAGTTAACTCATCTTTATCTCATCTACTTGATGTCATCTTCACTGTCTACTTTTACTTTGCAAATGTCAGCATACTTCATACTTTTATTTCTTCATGGTTTTGGGTGAATAATTTTTATCAGCTATGCAGCGGTGGCTTTATTAATATAATATTATTCATAATTTTGGTGGATTGAGTAGTAGGCTAGAGTTGAGCAATTAGAAAAATAGTTCGTTGCAAAAATATTTTCAAATTATTTTGTAACACAGTATCTGCACTTTATACTGTTCTGCTTGTGAAGTCAACTGTATACTTAACCAAACCTATTTTGCATCAACAATAACAATTTAGATTTGAATTGTGGAATAAATTAATTTCAAATATCTTTTTGGTACTCCTATGATGGAAAATGCAAATCGCATACTGATAACACCTTTTTTCGACTTCCATTTTTTTAAATTTTGAAATACCAACAGTAAATAGTGGGTGTTTACCCCACCTCTTTGCCTAAAGATAGGCAATGCAGAATTGGAAAGATTTAACAGCATTGTCTATTCTAGATCTTATTATCTTTAAGTTAGTAAGTTGTGCACATCTCATCAGCATAAAAATTAAATCGAAAGAAAATAGTCAATGGAATAAACTGTTATCAATTACTGGTATTCTTTAATTAAAATATACTACTAATACTACAACCCTAGGTTCATCATGTTATTAGAGATATTCCCCTTAACTGGGTTCTTTGTTATTTTGTATGATCTAAATTAACCTCAGCAAGTGCATTTATTTTATCTTCATTTATGAATATTACTAGCACATACTTGTTCCCTAGCAGTGTTGACTATAACTGTAACAGAATGTAGTAGACTGCATGCTAGTATATTACCAATTGGTTAGTTTGCATACTGGTGTTAGCTCGGATGTAGCATAGCTACCATATTCATTCATTCTATGTAATATCACCAACAGCATGTTATAAAACTATATATATTATAGTTCATAATATGCTTACAAACTTGCATGGTTATGTTTATTATAATGTTATCTGGTAATATATCAAATCAACCATATAGTTTCTCTTTGACTTGTGATAATAAATAGCTACAGTTGAAGCTATTCTTGCATGGTTACACGATAGCAAATTTATATTTCAATAACACTCTCGCTAACAATTTGTATTAAATTCTATTCAGTATCCGTTAGTTTTGTTTTTATTTTTAGTTTAATTTCTGAATAATATTCAGCAGTAATTTTAAATGTTCTTGTTATGCTCATTTTATGATTTAGTTGTCAGTTTTATTAATGACTATTAAAAAATTATGCATATTTAAACTTATTTTGTGGTTTAAAAAGTATCTTTGAGTTTTACCATTTTATCTTCCAACTGCCTTGACTTTCCATATGGTTTACTTATCTTTCATCAGGTGGTGATACTTCACAAGCTTCAGGTGAAGGTGAACAAGATGAGAAACAGTTGGAACAACTGGGTAATACTGAAGTGTCACTAACATTGCTGAACAGAATAGAAGTAAAGGAAGATGATGATGGTGATGTGAGAAATGTATTACTCAGGTAAATTATTGTATAGAACAGCGGTTCCCAAAGGGTGCAGGATCCAGTTTAGAATATATACTTGATATTCCTTAACAAAACCTTATTTCAGAGCAGGGGTTGACAAACTGCGGCTCGTGCCCCCTCCATCCTTTTTGTGGCCCCCAAAACCTCACTTTTAAAAAAACAAAAGTTGCTTGTAAACTTATTATCATCTGCGCACCACGGATGTATGTCGTAACAATAGCTGTTTTACGGTTTTGTTTTGTAGTACCGGTAATTAGAATAAGCAAAAATTGTCAGTTGTATGTCAATTACTTGCCACCGTTGGTTGTGATTAACACAGAAACTAGAATATCGGTTAGAAACCGTAGACTTATCGATCGAAGGTTAGGGGATCCCCCAAAACAGTGGTCTTACTCCATAGTGACACCGTGTGTCCCATCACTAATTAATTAATAACTCGCTAATTATAAGACATAATCCATCCAAAATCAATAGGCTTCTGATCCGAGCTATGATGGCTGCACATGCAAAATTTGGAGCAGGATTCAACATCGCTTTCGTGAGATATCGCGTGCATCTAACACACAGACAAACAAACAGACATACATACAGACAGACAAATACCTATCAACATACTTACCGATCTTAAGATCGATGAGTAATAAGAACGTCATGATATGAAGTTTAAGGTGGCGATTGTTTATAAACTAATATGGTCCGCACGCTACCATCAATGTGCATGTTTGGCCAGGTAGTACATAAAGTTTGCCGTCCATTGTTTTAGAGCTTGTTTGGAATAGTAGATTATTAGGTTTTGACTTGTTCTGGCCACCAAAGGTTCCAGTTGTCCCATAAACTCAAGAGCTATGGTTTGTTTTATAATCTTCTTTTTACTTTTTCAGAACTAAGAGAATGATAATAGACGTGATTCGAGTGCAACCTGGTGACAATCTTGTTCAACTATTGGAAACTGAAGCAACAGATCATCAGGTTTGTAACATAGATTCAATCAAATAGGATAGGATTTACATATTCATTCCGGGGGAGAGAAAAAGTGATGAGACTGCTTAATCATATAGCGAACCACGGCCACTCGTCCTCAAACCTGCGAACCCGAAATGTCAGCAATGTTGAACTTGAAGTAAGTCTGTATGTATTATATAACGATGGCATGATAATTATAGCAACAACAAATTGACATGGTATAATTACACTTTATAGACGACTATCGGCTTATTCATGCAAGGAGAATTGTTTCAATTTGGTGACCGATTGGTCCCTCCAACCTAGGTACTTATTAATTCTGGTATTAGTCGATTGTATATGTCATGAGAACTCGAATTGTGTTTTCTGTTTTGATTGTTGAGTAATGACAGGATTTGAATGAATATCTATCTATCAACTGAATAGCAATCAGGTTAATCAGGTTTTGTCACATTCTCCTAAAATTTTTTTTACATATTGGTTTTGACTGTATCCTAATGAATATATATCTATATCTACTATTTAATTACATTACTACGATGCTCTTCATTTCATTGAGACTACAATTCGAGATCATATTTGCTCTCATTTTGCATACTTTTATTCGAAAATCTCCATTTATGTGCAATAAAATCGTAAAAAAATTAATAAAAAGAATGAAATGAAAAGATCTTGATAAAAAAAAATAAAAAAAAGCAGCAATAGAGTAGTTTACCGCTGTACTTGATAAAATATAACACTGAATGTTTGATTCTGTACAAAAAAAATATTCAATGCACATACTGATTGTTATAATATCTCATAATGAAAGAATACTGTACAATTAGTTCACTAATTCAATTCATTATGTCTGTAGACTTGTTTTTAAACTGATGTACCTTGTTTAAATGTTGGGATCATATCTGTTTGATTCATTAGTTTGAGACCGGTAGAGCTCTCAGATTATTTTTTACATCGCGGTGCCTTCCTAGTGTCAATATATCCTGCTCTTCATTTTTCTGTCTTGTGGCTACACAGAACACTGTGTTGTTCTGGTTTACTTTTTATCCTTCACATCCCTACCAAGGCTCTTTCCCATCTTTCTTTGCCAGATGTTCTACTGGAAAATTTTTCTCCATTTTCCAGTTGTATTGGATGGGGTGTGAGTTCGATACTCGTACTCATTGTCATTCCTTTTTTTCCTTGATTGGAATTAGAGCTCCATATTTGACTAGCCCCTCGTCGCCGAAAAACATTATGTAAACCGTTTCGGAATTTTTGATCTCGTACTGTATATATCAATACATTTACAAAACTGTTCGACATACAGGCGTAGAAGGCAATTGTGTATGGCATAGAGTAGTTTACGCAGTCCAGTTGTTTACCGTAGAATAGAATCACAACTATTATGAAAGGAACTGAAAATGCAATAAAGAAGGGTTAATTCACAGAATTTTCAAATCTTTCGGGAGAAATACTTGCAGTAAAATAGTGATTAGTGATATGCAAATATAATCAATATGCAATGGGTCACTCGCAGCTACGAAAGTAAACTTACGTAGTGTTATGCTAAAGGCAGCAATCATAATCGTTAGGGTCTTCAACACTGCTACTTCCGGCTTTAGTTCCGGTTTTGTGTTATCGGCATCATCCCATTGATATCGTCCGTTACTCGCTAGTTTGAACCCGGAAGTGGTCTGGGATCCTATACCACCGTTCGTAGTTCGATGATTTCTTGTGGAATAACGCTTCATATGTGCCGTTGATTTCATCTTCCACCATACTACTACCCCGGTTAGTGCCGTAAATGTTATCTGTTAACGGATAGGTAATATAATTAATTAATCGCTCTAGCATATGAAAGTCTTCACGTGAAAAGTTTATACTATACATTTATTAATGTCCTGATGGCGGAGGTAATAATCGTGACCTTGTTTCTCTATATTGCTTTTGGTGACGCGGGGTTTAATGTGTTTTTTGTTGCAAGTTTATATAATAACACATCATTTAAATGCCATAAATAATTTAAAATAATCCAAGCATAAGCGTTTCGAAAGTAAACAACAACAACCTGCCCTTTTTGAAATCCATCAGAATGATTTGAGGCCTATGTAATTCTTATCTGGATAGTTAGAACACATCATTTTATTACGTTTTGCGTATTTTAACACAAAAAATTAACTTTTTAAGATTAAGATTTTAAATCGAAATACCGGTATATATGGCTTAAATTATCATCTTACCGTGGCTATATATGGTATCACCATGGTTATTACAATATAGGCCGTTCCTTCCGCATTGGTTTCGGATCCATTTGCTGTCATTATGTAGACGAATAATACAGGCAAATATCGAAACGAGAATTGATACTTGAAAGCAGCTGTAATGTATGAAAGTTACTTATGTAATTCATTGATCTGGCGGTCTGAGTCTACCTATATTGTGTTGTGACGCAAAACAATCAAAGTTAAAACGTAATTTTGACGCACTTATAAGTTCGCTTTCATGTCATCTTTCACAAAATAGATTTTACGGTTGTTTAAAATCGAAACTTTGTGTCGAAAACACTTCCGGGAATATACCCATCATCAAAGACGAAATTATTTAATAATTAATTATTATTTTAGGCAAATTACAGCGTTCTATATTCAGATAGTATACGTCATTATATTAAAAGTAGTCATATCGTATTTGATGTAAAAACTCGAAAATAATTTTCTGCGAAGTCATCATCACAGTTCACAGGTATAATGAGACGTATACTAGTTGAATCGAAATATTCAAGATTTATGACAAATATTACGGAAATTTCGAACGCACTATACCGAATATACCGCTGGAGAATATTCGTTATTGATCGTATTACAACGTTTGATCCACCATGCCTTATTTAATTTCTACAGCGACTGTGTTATGTAAATATATATTTTGGTTTCATCTCTTACCTGGTAGAAAAGACACTAAGATAGAAACTGCCCACACCGACAAAATTTGCGATGAAAGAGACTTTGGTCCTCTCACTCGGTGCCACAAAGGCCATTTAATTGCAACAAAACGCTCAGCGCTGAGATATGTCAAGTGAAACAATGAAGCCTGTGAAAAGTAAACATGAAATTGATCGGAATCGAGTAGTGTTACAAATGTTCCTAATGCGAGACAATAATGCATAAATCGACTCTTATTACGGCCCGGTCGCGACTCGCGAGTAGCTGCCTTTGACAATGGTACATCAATACTCGTTTTTGACTGTTTGCAAAAATTCTCGCAGTAATCTGTATTTGTTTCAATGAAAATCTCGCAAGAACATGGTATATTTTTATATGAAAAATCACGCAAAAAAATAAGAGAATTAAACATACTATGACTTTTAGAATGATCCATAAGTATGGTTTTGGGTAAACCATATTTGCAAAGCAAATTGTTATTTTTGAAATTAATGATGTTTTGAAACGAAAAGTCTTATCATTTCAAATGTCAGAAAACGTTTTTTTTTATTGGTTATTAGATTCATACTTTCAATTAGGCCCACGTTTTGTAGTTTATTTCTAGTTATAAATCATTTTCGAACCTGTGCTGATAAAGTTAGCATTGAACCGGCTATTATAGCTTGGGCTGAATTCGTCATATCTCTATCCTCTTCAGCTAACTGTTGTTCGGTGCTTTGCATCGTACGGATAACATTGGGAATAACGGAGAACAGGAGAATCAAACCAGTTATCATGTCAGCAAATCCAAGTGAAACTGAATTGTAATAAAATTCCGATTAAAAATGTCCGGTATCATATTTACTTCAATCGGCTTTCTCGCCAAAGCGAATTTTGAAATATTACTTATACGTCATTAAAGTTTTATATTTCGTTCATCGGTCGTTTTGCGAGACAATCTCCAACATAACTCTAATACTAACAGTTTGGGACACTTCCATATCTGTTTGCTTATTTTGGGGTCTTTCCAAGCCAATCTACCCGACATAACTGAAATCGTAAAAAAACTGTGTTGTTGGCGTTTTATAGCCAAGAAAAGTCAAATTTATTGTCTCGATTCTATTATTCCTAATTTAGAGATATACCCAAATATTTTCAATATGGCTATGTTGGTGATATTCCCGTCACTGGTAATTTGCATATTTATTTATATGCAATATGTTATCGCGATTCGATTATTTTTAATCAAAGCCTTTGGTTAATTAAAAAAACGCAACATCATAATGCTTGTTGACGTATTTCCCCACACAAATGATCTATTACTTGTACATGTTTTATCACGACTTTATCATTTTAGGTATAATGAATGATAAATTTATCTGGAATCGTGATGTGTATGCATGTTAATTTGCGTGATACAATTAACGTTATTTCTGCACATTGTTTACGTTATTTCCAGGTTATTAATAAGTATTTCCAAGTCTTTCTCCCTCAAAACAGCATTATTACACACCTTTCAATAAATTGTGATGACTTCTCAATTCTCGATTTCTCCACAGTACCAACGGTAGCAAACTGTTCCCTACTATAATCGCTAGTGATAAAATGATTACGACAAAAACGAATCCTGCTTTCGCTCCCCGTATTTCACACTCTTCCAAGGTATCACTACTTATGTCAAGTGATATGCAAGTTTCTTGATCGCATATAGAAGGGTATCCACACATCCGATAAACTACAGTAACTTGATCACGCGTATCCGAATTATCACTGTTATTAAATTTCTCGATAAGACTTGTGTTATGAAATATATCTCGTCCTGCTATTGGGTTTAGTTCAATCACTATGGTTTTTGAGTTATCGGCTTCGAATGTCGTAATGTTTGACGTTGTATGCTCGATTTTTTGTGATGAAGTTGTCGGCCCAGAGTCTACATCTACTACTGGTATCATCCCTCTTTGAAAATCCATTGGCATGCCAGCTTGAATTGTCGATTTTGTTGACGTTATTTTCGTAGGTATGGATGGTTTGCTTTTTATAGTCGTCGGTTTTAAGGTTGTTGAAGTTTTAGGTTTTGCACGTTCTGTTGGTTTTTTCGGTTGTAGCAGTCTCGGTATTGGTGGATGCGGTGCGATTGATCTGGAATTCGTGCTAGTTACCGTGGTCGTTGTTGATTTTGTCGTTGTTGAGGTGCTTGAATGGTCTGGCACATCTGGTGGAATAGGGACACCGGGTGGAATAGGGACACCGGGTGGAATAGGGACACCGGGTGGAATAGGAACACCGGGCGGAATAGGGACACCGGGTGGAATAGGGACACCGGGTGGAATAGGGACACCGGGTGGAATAGGGACACCGGGTGGTATCGCAATTCCGTGAAACGGTCGGAGGCCCAGTACGCGAGAGTTGTCTTTTTTGGTTGTTGTTTCTGGTTTTTGCGTCGTTTCATTGAAAATCGGCAATGCCTGTTTCAGGTCTATTTGCACCTCATTTCCCATCCTCAGCTTGCTCGGGTGATCCTCATTTGTCATGGCAAAGCTATCGGGAAGTACGACATCGATTTCTGGTGCCAATGTTAAATCTAGTACCTCACTGTAAAATGGATTTATACCATACCCATACATAGTTGGATTTGGTGTGCTCGGTTGCAGCATGATATTTGAAGTAACCGCGCTTTGCTCCACCATGTCGAGTGTAAGCAGATCATTTGAAGAACTCTCTTCCGTGTCTTCCACAATGTTGTCATCTAAAATCATTGGCGAATTTACAATCCCATTCACGGTATTGTCCAATACATGTCCATTGTTGTCAGGGTTGACATTGTCTATAAAGCCGAAATTGTCTTCCGCAAGTAAATCACCTTCGGTGTTTTTCACTCCAATTGTAACATTACTTCCACATACCACAACCAGGAAAACTAATCGAAATAAGAGCATAACCATTAAACTGTATTCAGGCTCAGTTTACGCCAGGATTCGAAAAGAGATAAACTCTAGATTGCTAATTAAATCTTAATTCAGAAAAAATACTTTAATTAAGTTGTTAATCCTTCCCGCATGACTCTGTGTTGGCCTAACAGCTCAGCGCCGATAACACGACAAATAACTTGCATGCGTGTGATGAATGTTGCGCAAAGCGATAATTACCGAATTTCCTATAGGCAACATGTTTTGAATGTTATATAAGAGTATGCAGGGATGCCCATAACGAATCAATATTAGAATCAATTATATTCGGTACAGCAAATTCTTGGTTTTTGAACTATGAAGAATATTTTCATCTCAAAATTTCTTCATTTTGAGCACTTGACATCGCATGGTCAGACGAAAATAGACTTCCTTCAACTTGCAATTGTAAACTTGTATTGTAAAAATAGAGAATAAGAAAAAAATCTTCATCCCAACTTCTGTATTATATATACTTTAACACTATAACTAACAATATACTATCAGTGACAGAATGCTATGCTATGTAAAGTTATTTTCATTACTGGATGCAACAATTTCTGACAATTTTCTTTGCTGGACATGAACTAATTTAAAATATACTCGATATTTTTTAAAATGTTATTCGTATTGTAATTTATTCGATTAGCTATTAAAACTCATTTATTGTAGGCAATAAGTAAGTTAATTTAATTAAATAAGTCCGTAGACATGACTTTAATTAAATAAGTTCGTAGACATGACAAATCCAGTCTGTCACCGGTCTATCTTTATGTCTTATTATGAAATGCTCTCCCAATATTTCTTTAATATATCTACCAATACACTTATGTGTTCAGTTTTGGATTGACACATGTAGTACAGTAATTTCGCACTCCATCGAGGACAAACGACACAATTATCGAATGAAAACAAATTCTTCCTATTATTAACCTAATCAACGCGTCGCCTTGTATTATTCTCCTGTAGTTACCACCTCATTTCCGGAAAACCTTGTAAAATTTTCTGCTTATTATATATTAATTGCACTTGCACGTGCACTTGCGGTAGTGCTCGTTTCTTCTATACAGATGGGTTTGAATGTTAATTTTTTTGGGAGCTTGTTTCGCGAATAAATCTATATTGATATTAAAAATGAAAAACAAAATTTAATCTGACCACGAATTGAATTCAACATCAACGGAATAAATACATAAACCTATTTCTGTACCAAATATACTAATCCGTCACACCGTCTCCTATGTGGTACTGTTCGTTACTTGAAACTTAGCTTTATTAATTAACTTCTGTCACGTTATTAGCGCATTTTATCATTGTGTCATAGAAAGATAGTATACATCGATCACAAATTATTCAATCATTAAATTTATCAGGTCCATGCTGTTAGAAAACCAACTTCACTAGTTTTACGCTAAACTCTTCAGTACTCAATATTTTTCTTTTCAAAACAATCTACTGAAATTTAGATTATAGTTCTGCGTCCTATTATCTGTTCGAGTCGAACGTTATAATTAACGTCTATCCTGAATAATTTGCCTACAAGCTAAAATATCACGTCAAGCCAATTTTAGGCTGATCTGAAATGCTAAGTGTTGTAAGTTAAGAGTCTCTCACTTCTGCGCCCAAGGCTATCTAATGGACTTCAATTTCAACCACATCGCCCCTATTATTTCATACAAATCGACTAATAAAGCGTCTATTTTTGTCGATCGTTCATCACCAAATGACACCGCATCTCTGACATATAGAAAAAATATTCTTGAAAATACTGACTGCTGACGTCACTTCTTTTTATTTTCAAGCTTCGTGGAAGTATCATCTATAGATAACTTGGTGGTCATAGATTATTTATATGGAAATGTTGTAGTCCAGTCATGCATTGATATAATCTGACCACGGGACCAGCAAAACTGTGGTTCGGGCAATGCCAAACCGTTTATTCCATAAATAGTAGCATATCAGTAGATTATTGTGCAAAGCCTCGTTCCGAGTGATGTCTTATTTAAACGCTTTTGTATTGGATTACGATAAAGTGTATGTTAATATCTACATTACTTTATACCAGGGATGGGCAGCACGTCGATCGTGATCGACTGATCGATCGCCACATCTCGAGTAGTCGATCACGTCTTATGTTGAGTGAATTTAAAAACATACTCCAAAAAAATGGCCTGAACCAGTTTCATGCAGCGCCTGTTGTGTGTATTAAAACAGGAAGAATACAGTACTGTATAATGTATATACACTATTTGAGGGTGGGAAAGTCCGATAGAGCATACTATCACGTGACAAATGCGGGTTTCTCCGCTGCTAAAATTTAGTAATGAACGTGCCGAATATCACGTGTCTTGATTGCCTGACAGACCATCCTACAATAATTTCTGCAATATGCAAAAGTTATTGTCCTACTTCCAAGAGTAGTGTGATAAATTTTATTCGTAACGGTAGCAGTGACATCAGAATGCCCGCCCAATTTTTTTCTAATTCCAAGCGAGCGAAGAATCGGACTTGGAGAAAATTGTAAATTAGATACTGTTTTATTAGTCATGTAACATTTATGGTTTGAGAATATTCATTTTTTGTTGTTTAAATAATACGTGATTACTTGTGATTACGCAAGTTTTTTGAGGAATTCTTCGGGTACAAATAAACAAGTACATAATCAATCAAATCAAAAAATTGAATGGAACATGAAAATACAAATTTTTTTGTCGATTTCAGTAAGAATGCGCCCACAGAGCCGAGCTTATTGGCAGCCGTGCTTATTGGCAGCCGTGGAATTTTTCTATGCATGTGTGTAGTTAGTTATCTGCATATTCAATACTCATTCGTTTTAGTGTATGACCTTATTACAGATCAGTCGATCGCGAGCTATTTTGAAGATTTTAGTCGATCGCGGTCGAAACCAGGTTGGCCACTTCTGCTTTATACAATCGCCTGAAAGTGTTAGATTCGTCATCAACACAGACGAAACATTTCAAATCCAAATTACAAATATTAACATGTCGTGTTTCCGTTGACATTATTACCGTATCTTACGCGCTACCCACAGTACCGATGACTCTCCAATTCGTGTTAAATGTCTTTGAGTTATAAGTTTGACTCGGGCTATTTAACAGAGCTGAAAACAGATCATATTTTTGTTTGGGCGTGACTTTTGAAATATCACTTGTATATCACATATATTTTGAAATATCTGTGTAAAGTTTAAACCAATTAAATAAATTTCATGTGTTGGTCCTTGATTTGCCGTGCCGTCTTATTTTTCCTAGACGGCGAATATGCATCCTGAACACGATGCAAACTCTCAAACTTTGCATATTGCATTACATTGGAGTGAAATTTTGCAACAGATATTGATTGACCATAACCTTTCATCGATCACCCCGCTGGCTTCGTTGGAGTTAGACGGGTCGCCCTGGCTTCTGGTCAGAAGTCGGGCCATCTTGAACTTCTTGGCTCAGGGCAAAACTCTGCTTGGTCTGTTCAACTAAAAATATAAAGCTTGGCTCAGGGCAAAACTCTGCTTGGTCTGTTCAATTAAAAATATAAAGCCCCACTAAACCCGGTATTATTGACTGCTTACGTAAACCCCTGTCTGCTGCAATGCTTCATTCTAACTGAACTGTCAGGTATGAACGCCACGATCAACATTTATTCTATCAACACGTTTGATTGCTTTAATGAAACAGCACGTCTGCATTGACATCTGTAACGTGCTGTACATTTATAACGTGCTGTTTGGCACGTCGTTTTCTTAAATGGTCTGCCGATTTGCGTTTCGCACAGCATACTCCAGCGCGTCGGTCACTTTGGTGTTTCCGGTTGAAATTGATGAATTTATAACTACCGTAATTACTACATACTGATTGGTCTAATATTCGGTCCGTATTAATAAACACTCAGACATTGAGTTTCCGCCTGAAGTACATTGTCGATTTCTTGATTAGACAGCTCAATGATAGAGCATTTAGAGCAGTGGTTCCCAACCCATTAACCCTGTATATTCCTACCTTTGCATGATTTGAATCACTATGCAGAAAATCCTATGTTCGTTATTTGTTTAACATTTTAAGAATCCTTAGCTAGGTATACGCGCAACTCGGTTTTACTCATTTTGAACTTTTCATAATGTGTGATTGTGTGCATAAATAGATATTGCAATAATACTTATAGTGCCACATTGGGACTACTCGTACTCCCAACCCTTATCGGATTTAATAGTGGTTTAAACTGGGTCCTGGCGATCAAAATCTCCCACCTCGATGCTTTCCTTCAACTATGGACTTAAATTACTTCAGTTATCTCGTGTCACGTTCGCCATCTTTTCTCTCGCGACAATACATTTACAAATATGGGTCGGTATGACTGATTTTCAAAGGTATTGCCGTAACAGTTTTACAGCTTTAGCGCATCGCCATAGTTATTTTTTGAATGTGTTGTGCTTAAAAGTAAAGGCAACATGTATGATCATCTCGATTCTCGATTCTTTATCGTAGACAAATGATTGGGACAATTTAAAGCAGTTTATATGAGGAAAACTGAAAAACGTGGGACTCATCGATCAATTCTGCAAGATTGTGCATTATTCACGTTGCGGTGAAATAGCGCCGCCACATAATTTTTTTGAATTGTGCCCGTTGACACTTGTTTTCCCAGTTTTTCTATAACGGCCATATTACTCGCTTTCGTTCAAACAAAATATTGATTTGATACTGCTACGCTCACAATTCACAAATAATTTTACTGGGGTAAAACGGACTGGTGTATCAAAAAAGACCACATTTTTTCACCGTCAAGCTAAGAAAAAGGCAATCGGACGACAAGCGAATAATTTGGGCTTCCTTCGATTCAGGCTGTATCGGATACCAGTACATAATATACTATCACTCAGTATTTTAGCAGTCACATTTTATTGGGAGAACCCAGAATATGATTTCATGTAGATCAGTGGTTCTCAAACTTTTTAATCCGCCCCTTTAGCCGCCAGAATTTATCAAGTCTCGCGCCCCAACTCAAAAATAACTATCTGACAGTAAGCTACAAATAACGAATAGTGAGCCGAAAGTATGTATTATTCAAAAAACACGCTGCAAATACGTGGATGGAACGTAAATATTGAAATAAATGTCTTAGGCATGTTGCCGAATCCCTCATCAAGATTTGGGAAGGATGAGGAATTCCCATTTTGAATTCGCCGAATAAGGCGTACAAGATCAAATCTAATAAATATTTTCATTTCAATTAGCTCCACGCTCCCTCAAAAAATTGTCTACGCCCCTTTGTGGGGGGCGCCCCACCGTTTGAGAACCACTGATGAAGATGATGTCATTTGTACCGTAAACGCAGTCAGAACCCCAATCTTCATGCCTTACTTCAAGCCCAAACGCTGCCTGAGAAATCGGATCGTTTTTTGACTTGTAATCGGTTTACTAAACATTTGAAAGCGTAGAATTAATATACTCGTAATTTTTACTTTTCTGACCCCTATTCCAAAAATCTTTCTGTTGTATTTTCATCCGTAGGATTTGTGTCAGCCGTCAAGTGTATAGATTATACTCAAATCCTGTACGAATGGCGTACACCAGGTATGTTAATAAAAACCCAAAAATACTATTGATTTACTTAATAAATTGAGGTTTATTCATCAAAATTTATCCTCACCACATAATACGAAATATACCATTTTCACGATAAAAACAACATTATATGCAATTCAAAGGGTACACACTGTCAGTATTCTGATTGTATATCAATATCAGAATTGCTTTTATAGTAAAACGAGTCCCTGAACACCACGTCAGTCGTCACCACATTAATTGGCATTTGATTATTATTGATATCTCATTTTCAAAAGTATACTTTCTATTCAACACTGGAAACCAAAGTTAAATATATGATTCGGTAGCATTTTCCTACAAGCTAAACCCATGGTGAGCGTTTTTGGTCTTCTGAGTCTGAAGTCCTCTGGTTCCAACTCCGATAAGATTATTGCTTAGCCCAAACTCTGCGCCTCATACGGAGTTACTAAAACCAGCAGCTCCCAAATCTACTTCTGCGTGTCATTTCTTTTACGGAGCTCAGGCGAGATCGTTCAGTAAAAATATTAAGAAAATATGTTCAATATTTTGGTCTTTGATTTTTCATTTCTTTACGTGATGAATTTTTTGCGTTTAATGGTTGTAACTTGTATAAGATTCCGCACTATCATAATTTAGAATTACAACTTCCACTTGATACGTTGGTAGTCGTGGTCGCCATAGGCTTATTTTCTGATCTTTTGCTAAATAGCTTCTTAACTGCTGTTCTGAATCTTTCGTCTCGAAAACTGTAAATTATCGGATTGATGAAGCTGAAAGGATAATGGATGAATATTTATACTCCTGTAGTATGTGTACCAGGTTAGGGTAAAGTCATAATTTTATTCCGATTTTCCCTATTTTGGTTCTATTACGAGTTCTGTGTCAGCCCAGTAAATATACCACCTGCTCACAGCCTTCCGTCGCTTTACACAACTTGATGTAGAGTAGTCGAACAAAATTATTTCCCTTCATATTGGTACATACACTTCTGGAGCGCCTATTTATATAGTATTCATATAGTACTGTTATATGTACTTCGCTGTTGATTTAGTTTGATTAATAGAATACAAATCTAGATTACTTACCCGTTAGCTAGGCCGCCGTAGAATGTAAGAACGAATGAAGTAGTGTATGTTGAACATGTCAACGTCTTCGCTACAAATAGGATCAAAACGATCCCAAAGGGAACTAAAAATGCATATAATTTAATTAGGATTTTTTGTATAAGGTGTTGTTTTGTATGTGATGGAATCTGTGGTCTCAATTCGAATCAACTGAAAAGTAATCATCCATAAAAGTAGTCGATGGTCGCCAAAAGACCAATTAAAAGAACTAGTATGCTCCTGATAATTTGTCTGTATTTTCAATATGACAATTCAAGAAAACATTGCTTTCATCAGGTTTTCGTGGCTTAGTACAACAGAATTCCCAAATGATGTTGTCTGTCAGGATTATCCACTAATGCCACACATACGAGTTGATTTGATACCATCACACAAATTCAACGATCAACATTCCGAAGGCACTGTATAGCTGCTCTAGCATATCAAGAGAGAGTATTGGACAAGGCGCTCATATAATTTGTTTTAAAAAATAAACCTACGTATGGTTACTGTGAATCCAATAATCATTGTCACAATAGTAATGAATACTGACACTTCGGGCCGCAATTTTTGTCGTAAGCTTGTCGTTGGTTTAAGTCGGGGTTCTGCAGCCACGCCAGTGGATGACTGTTTACCGTCGACAACAGCCGAGCCAGATGCGGCGTGAAACTTTCCACCGGCTCTAAATGTTTTTGTTCTCGATTTCAATTTCCTGTATGATGAAATACCCGTCAAAATGCATACCACCAACTGAAATGACAAGAAATATCGGTTTAGATAGTTTTAGAACTCAAAATCCACGCTTACACACAGCACAGGGTAATTAATTCAAAGATGATCAAACACTGCTCGATAGAACATATTATTATTACCTATTTATTTATTTATCTATCAGTACAGCAGTACAAGCTCAACGCCTCTCGCCCGGTCGCCGTTCCGGCATTAGAAAAACTATCCGGTCCTTTATTCCAAAAGTTGACACTGTGCGATAGAACATATTAGTATTTCTTATTTATCAGGGTACAGCATACAAGCCCAACGCCTCTTGTTTGGTCGCCGATTCTGACATTGTTTCAAAGATTGTCAGTTTTTGGATACCATAAATATTAAAGCCAGATCTCTATAAATTCAATTTCGGCCATGCTAGAGTGGTTCTCAAACCTTCATGATCTATCTGTGCCCCATTTCGGCCCCTGCCCTTTCAAAATACCGGGGCTCTGTTAGAGAAACCCTGTCGTAAATATTGTTTGATATATGTTGCCCATTCTATCGCACTACTATGCTCGTTTCCATAATGAACCCTTACCATAATTGTAAAAGGTAGAATCATGGTAATCGACGTGTACAGAGGGCCATGTATTCCGTATTCTACTTTTCCCGATGTTCCAATTATTGTTTTCAACGTCATGTAGTGAATTAACAAAGATGGTTGAAATATGTATTCGAAGTATTGCGGAAATTCGGCTGAAAATAGATAAAATAATATATTTTAGTGAGTACATTTATTGACAAAATTTTGTCTCGTTAACAGACATTGCAGACACTAATATTCCATTCCTAATACATTCCAAATAATTTTCGAATATGTAATACACTTCACCTGGAACAAATGCACATAGAAATGAAGCTATCCATAACAAACTCAAAGTCACAATTATCGTTCGAGTTTTTCGCAGTAAATGCCAAAATGGCCACGTGATGGCGATAAATCTCTCGATGCTCAAGAACATGAGGTGTAGAAGAGAGGCCTGAAAAACAACGAACAATTTTATATCACAAGACATATAAGGGTTCTCTCGTGGATTAGCGGTGAATCGTCTACTATGATTTGTCACATTTTATAATTCGCATTACTCCGTTTTAGCGATACAATTGACTATTTTTTTGACTATTAGTCTGTGTCTACAATTATGCCCAGACAATGAAATAAAAAAGCCACCGTTTTGCTATATTTCAGTGTTAAATATCGTATTGTTGGCAAATCTTGAACTTACTGATCTTCTATTATACCACCGAACTCAGAGTTTTGTGCCAAGTACCGTGAAATGAGTGTCCCCCCTCCCTCGGAAAAGCACACCATAGAAAGACTTACTATAGTACTCATTTAAATGAAAAGTAGATATCATTACGAGTTAGCATTATATTATATACATAATAGTTAGCTATATTACATATGGCGAGCGTTTAAATTAATTTTGCATACCAGATTTGCTTAGAAAAACCGCAGAATATATGATTGGCTCTATATGAACGATTTAATATACTATAGCGACGGAGGTGGTTAACCGTTCACCTCAGCATACCTTCCGAGCACAGCATCAAGTATTGCATTCTGTGTAATCAATCAGTAAACTATTTATGTTTCACGTTCCTTAGTTTTACAAGAACGCAACTGGAGGTCTTAAACTTCACCTTCACTCTGACCTCTTTGCTCATTGCTCATTTTAGATCTTGACTTGTGACCCTCTTCAACCACTATTTAATGAAAGTTTTTTGGCTGATATGATCGTCTTTAAACCAGTTTTTGAATTGTTATGGACGAATAATTGATATTTCATTTGACGTGGTAATGTAGTAATCAAATTTGAATGGATGTTAGGATTTAATTAGGAAAATGTTGATATAATTGAATCTAAATCTGTAAATAAATAGCTATGGAATAATAAGGGTGCTATTGTATTGCTGTTGCCTCAGTGAATAATGAATAATAAATTAGTTGCAACTTGCAAGGTTTCCTTTCCCTACCAAATCCATATTTAATAAAGTCATGTAACTTGGCGGCCTATTAAGTAAATGATTATTTCTTCCAGAACGTTTATATTCATACCCAAAGTGGTGTGTTGAACTTCTCAGGGCAGTTCTGGTAACTATGGCAAATAGTAACTCTGGGGTTAGTGGTTACTATAATCTGAACCGAACATGCATTTATTATTTAAAACATATTTTTATCAAAATATACAAATTTATACTACTGACTCTTCATATCTAAATGAAACTTGCGTATTTCTGATATACTATTAAAGTATTTCTTCAAAATTAATCATTTTACCTGTCCCGACATCGTCAACAAAGATCCAACTATGACTGCAGTAGGAGAGTTTGTATCATTATGCAGCATTTCTACCACTTGTTTTTCGCTATGTTGTCTGACCCAAACCATGTTCGGTATCACGGCAGTCAGTAATAAAAAGCCAGGAATCATGTCCGCAAATGCTAAAGAAACTGTAAAAGTCATTACATAAGATTTTATATATATATTTCATGGGAAGTATCGTTTATGCTTCGTTGTTGTGTACTAATCCTGTTACGAGTATGTTAGCGTGTTTTTTCGGATTACACTTCAATTTTATCATTTGTCCGAAATCGTAAGCTAGAATAATTAGGTTGACTCAATTTTTTGCAAAATTCATCCAATCCACTTCGTATTCAATTCGCGTTTGAAAGAGCGTCAAGATTTTTACGTTCGTCATTCCCTCGATTGCTGCACAAAGTAAGGCTATATTCATGTCTTCGAAATTAAAGTCACTTCGCGTTATTTATTCCTGATACTAACCTTTTATATAATCATACTGAGTTCTCATGTCAGACCTTTGCCATACAACAACAGGCAACAGGCAGTTAAGAAGAATAATAGTCAATCCAAGTGATGCGACGAAAATCGCAAACACCACAACGCCACCCCTGTACTCACAGAGTGACAAATGCTGTGTATAATAGTCCAAGTAACCGATACAGGCATCACGATTGTTATAAATTGGATAACTACAGAGGCCCTCTATCCACTTGTCTTCACTTTTGGACGCATTACTTTTAGATGTATTCCCGCTTGAAGGAGAGATTTGATTTGCTGCTGGAGTTGTACCAACTTCTAAAATATCAGGCACATGCGTGGTTGAATTCATCTTTCCCTCCGTATTCGTGGTATCTGAATTACCTCGTAATCCTGACGGTGACATCGGCGACATTGTAGGAATCGGCCTGTCCATTGTCGCAGGTACTGCGATCATTGAATGTATAACTGCGTTAGGCGTTGCCATCGTTGGTATTAAAGAAGTAGCCTGTATAGTTCGTTCGGTAGTGACGGGCAATCCGAGTTTTTCTTTTTCATTGGCTTGTCCTAGCTCTTCCGTACGTTTTTTTAACGAATCGGCGTCGCCGTTCTTGTTATATTCAGACCCATTTGTAGTCATTTCGGAATCCAAGCCTTGAGGAAGACTACAGCCACAAAAGAGGATTAGAAGTAATATTCTTAAATATTTCATCGTACTTGTTTGAATGCCTTGATCGTTCTGTGAAAATAATAAATCTTAAGAATTTGATAGTGATATTGTATTTGCGCCCTGGCTCGTGTAGCCTTCTCCATATCTGATTAATCATAACATATCCAATTAAATAACATCCCAGAGTAAAATCAGAGAATTCAAACCTAAAATTTTTGACTTGTTACCTGTTCCTCCGCACCGTCTGCGAAAAGCATTCTCACTTCTCACTTTATTACATAAGGCCCAAGACGAATATTTTTGGCGTTACTACAGAGTGGTGTCTACCGCACCCCAACCATTGTCTGTCGCTTCCGAATGGATATTAATCATTCCCAGTCCTATTTCTAAGCCGACTCTAACCTCAGACTGCGCCTGGGTAGTCCGGCAAGGTGATGGTCCTCACGCAACTACAGTATGACCAGCAAATATTATCTCGAACTGAACGAAATATTGGAAAGCCGGCTTAAATTGATTAGTGAATATATTAAATAAAACTCATAGCCCCATCCTCGCACAGACACATATCACGAACTAAAGCGATTGGGACTATACTATATCTACAATTAGATTATTTCGTCGAGAAATGTCATTGCAACCGCACGCGTTGTCTCATCAGTCCCATAAAAATATCTCACCGCGTGTTACTTCTACTTTGCCTCAATATAGTAGCATCCAGCGATAAGCACGACTCGCAGTGGCAATTTAAATTTACCCACTTGGCCCAGTAATAAGTCGCGATCTGGACTTCGCCATATTCCCCAGGGCACCGCGTCGTAATCTTACAGCTACGGGGCAGCATTTCACTGTTATTTACTTGCATTTTTTTATGCGATCCTATTCATGAAGCCGCTGGAAATAAATAAAAAATTCTGCCCATTAAAACTGTCGTTATTTATATTTATCAATAGCTAGGTAGACCATAGCTTTTTTTACGGGTCTCCTGACGTTATAAGCTGTCTAATGAACTATTACGAAAGCCAACGCAATAGTATCTTCATCTAATTTTTCGTGCCCTGTTTCAAATCATACACTTACATCACGAAAACGTAATGTTCAGTGTACAACGCTCAAATACAACTTCCGGCGCCGTCGCTCGACGCTCAAAGTACAAATTCATTCCATAGGACGACGCCATCTAATATAAAGTGCTATTCTTTGCCTCACACACGCGAGTGACGTTATTAACCTGGTTTAAACACAACAAGAGTCGACCTGGATTCGCGGTGTTCGTCATCGTAACAACGCGAATTGGAACGATGTGACGAAGCTGAATTGTCATACTAAACAGCGCAAGAGTTCCGAACGATATCTAAACTCAGATGTCATGTATATTAAATTTTGAAATTGTTTTCGTAAACATCCCATATTATATATACTTTATAAAGTAAATATCTTAACTCTTTGAATCGCCCCATTTGAATTCTTAACTTTTAGTTGTAAGTTATAATTTCCATTAGCATTTGTGTGTTCCAAATTTGTCAAAAAAAATTCATAGGCCTCCATTAATTCTGAATGCTCATTAGACCAGATCTTGTATATCAGGGATGACCAACCTGCATTCGACGACCGTGATCGACTATAATATTCAAAATCGTTCGCGATCGACTGATCGGTAATAAGGTCACACATAAGAAAAGAATGAGAACTGCCACAAAATTCGTATTTTTTATGTTGCATCTAGTATGTTAATTTGATTGTGTAATTCTAATCGGAGTGAATTTTCATCACTTATTTAAGATTTATTCGAATCACACAATTCAAATCGAAGGGATAAATATGTAAATCCTATCCTGAGGCGCCCCGCCTTATTCTTCGTCGCAAGTGTTGAATATTCTCTAAAAAAAAACCTACAAAGTATCCCCGTTATCTAGACAGCGAAAATAAATATCTTCAAGCCATAAATGATACATGACTGCTCAAACTTCAGTATCTAATCTAGTTTACAATTTCATCCAAGTCCGATTTTTCGCTCTTTGGAATTAAGAAAAATGGGCAATCTGATGCTACTGTTGCGAATATAATTCATCACACGACTCTCGAAGCGAGACAACATCTTTCGCATACTGCAGAGATTGTTGAATGACCGTTTCCATTCAACACACACGATAATCCGCACGTTCATTTCACCTTGGCAGTGGCGATACTTGCAATTTTTACGTAATAATATGCTCAATCAGGCGTGCCCAGACTCGAGTACTGTATATGCGAGGGGTGGGCAAAATTTTTTGTTTTAAGAACCATACTAAAACATAATATGTCTTAATCATTGATGAAAACTCCTTCAACCGCTTGATAAATTTAAAAAAAAACTGCTACACTACAGATTCTCTTAGTTAAAGTTGGGTAATAATTAATGTCAGCGAGAAGAGCCGCATAAAATCTCTTGCGAGCCGCGGTTTGCCCACCGTTATTATATATGCAATCACTAATGTATCATATTTTGCGCATGTACACTGTTCAGTACTTTATTCGTGCTGTTTTGAAAACACGACTGGCGCTGCATGAAACTGGTTCAAAAACATCAGAGACGCTATCGACTACTCGAGACGTGCCGATGACCGGTCAGTCGTGGTCGACGTGTTGGCCACCCCTGTTGTATTATATATGGATGGTTTTTCTATTCACAATAATGTTTTTCTTTTTGTCCACTTAAGTGAAAATCTTGCATCAACGTGCAGCTGACATCGCTTCTTTTATTATCTTTATTTCGTATATATTAATAATGTATACATACATATACTGCCGTATCACATTATGGTGGCATATCAAAAACATTCATCAAAACTATGTTTGCAACACAGGTCACGAATCTTCGATCCTGTTGATTTGAGTTGATTTCGAAATCGTAAATTTTCAGTTCGTGTAACCGAAAATATTCATTCTTTGGAAACCTATAACCTCCATATGTTTGATTCGACTTATTTTGGGGTTAGGATTTTCAAAAACTCTTGTGGATATTTCCAACACCTTTTAAAATATATATCTTCTTTCCATTTGCAGCAAGAGGAACATATGGCGAATATACAAAAACTAGAAGAGCGTGAAAAACAGAAGAAAGCTGCAGATGAAGACGGAAAGAACATGCTGAAAATGAGATCCTTATTGACTGAAAACAAGTTACCGCTCGAAGACATGAAACGAAGAATTGCCAAAAATTTAGAAATTCTTGAACAGCATAACATCGTCAAAAAAGAGAACAAATACCAAGCGATCGTCAATATGATAGCCAGGGTGAGTTTTAAACTCGGAGAAGCATGAGCGAATTTTGCTCTTGTCCGCTCTTAACTAAAATTTTGTTGACATCAATTTGACTTTGGTTGGTTGAGTACTATAAAAATATAGAGCGTCTGTTAGCATTGACAATTCATTCGAATGAACAATTTGATGTGAATATAGTACTTTTAATTTTATTTTTTTATGGAAATTCAATACATAAAATTTCAATACATTGTGTTTCGACACACTTCCTACTAAATGTTAGGATTTTTATTCAATTTTGTGTAAGTTGATCTTTTGGTTGTAATTAGGTATTGAATATTTACCAGTAAAATAAACTACGTAAGTTCAAAAACAACCCATTAGTGTTTATGAATACAATGTAGGAGAATGTCCTTAAAAGTGATGTACTTCGTAATAGCTATCTATTGTTAGTTCCTCGCTCTGCGCCAATCGCCCTACAAGGAAGGCAACAGTAATTCGTTTCTTCCCAGAACCGCATTTTATAACTTGTTTTCGGCGTGGTAACGTTCGACACAATTTAATTTGATTATATTTGACGTTTGATATTGTGGTATCCCGCTGGTCTTCCCAATAATTTTGTTTTCTGTTGATTTTTTTCGTCGCTATGAACTGGTTCAAATAGCCCATCGGGATTTGAATTTTATTAGAATTTAGAAAGTCTACCATAGTTCTAGGTATTATGATCTCTTATGTACTGCATTGACATCACTAGCGCATTCATACATGGGAAATTTTATTTCAAGTATTAACGTATAGTTTGAAAATATAATAAAACCTTTCCAACAAATCCAAGATATTTTCTCCAATTTGAAGTGTTTATGATTGACCTCCCCGCGTGACTCTCAAAACCCCCTTGAATTGTACTTGTTTATGGGAATCGTGCTTCCCTCTGAAAAAATATTTTGCCCTGGCATTGTTGACTCTGCTTTGCGGCATAAGTAGTTTTCACATGACTGGGTAATGTACTCGTCTTAATCAAGTCGTATCATGATTGGGCCGAATTTGATGTTTTGCATTTTTGTAATTGCGAAAGTCAATCTCTTGCTTCCATACTTATATTGTAAAACCGAACATTTCATTCAACCGCTAATTCAATTTTGCGTTGCACATTACCCTGTAATTCCATTTTCGCTATTTTCGGTCAGTGTTAATAAAAAAATAATTACGTCCCATGCAAGGCGTATTTCTGTTCATCGATTTTACGATTTTTCTTGGGTAATGTATACCTTTTCTATATTTAATTTGGTCGATGAAATGTAACGATTTTATTCAACCCTGTCACACTTATCTAAATGGATATTGACTAGAATTTATACAGCTCATGTAAAATTCATTATCTCTATTATTATCAGTTTGATGTCATCGCCGATTTCATATGCGCTTCCATCTCTGGAAAGGATTTATTCCTTTAAAATAAAAATGAAAACGCCATTTTAGGGAGTCGCTGTTTGTGTACCAACAAAACAACGAAAATGAGCGTTGATCGCAATTGTCTCATATTCAAAAATAAATTTATTTACTTATAGTGATCACGTGAATGCTGATTTTTAAATGAGGTCTTCCGCATTCAGATATAGATTTAGATTTCATCTATTCTAGCGAAATGTATTTTTCTGTAAAAAAATAATTCAGGATTCGTGTCTTGCTAAATTTGACACTACATACGTCATTGATAACAAAACAGAATAGATTGTAGCTCTGACAAGGGCAATATACGGCTCCCGACCCCGGGCCAAATCCGGCCTTTGGGTAGTTCAATCTGGTCCGTCTTATGCTGTTATAACCCAACTAAAACCAAATTTCGATGTTTTATCTAAAAAATAGCTCAAGGAATTTGTTGAGATTTCGATTAAATTAAGTTTTGGCACGAGGTTTGTTTCCACTTTTGCTTTTGTAACACTGTAAATATTGTTCACAAAATGTAACTTTTTCGCCACACTTACAAAGCCCTCCAGTCTAGGTGGGCAAAATTTGGCTCCTGGTCCGAAAACGGTGCCCACCCCTATATGTAGCCGCTCATATTTCATCATTATTACCTTAAATTGTACGTGATATGTTGTGTAATTATGTAAACACTGGTAACGATTAATGGGTTTTGGTCGAAGTCAAACGCCAATAATAGCAGCTTTAATACCTACTTAACATTGGTGGAAACCTCGGAAATTATCCATACTTCTTGCGACGCACTTTTGGACAAACGCATTACTTGGACACGCTGCGAATTGATGAATCCATCCTAAGAACAAAACAACTTCATTTGAAAACGAAGGAATGATGTAACCGAAAGTACAATTTCAAGTTTACTAAAAGATTAATTTTCAAAGTTAAAATTTTTATTATATCCTTGGACATGACCCAGTATAAATGATTCAACGTCACATTAAACTGACTGTGTTGTGTGCATGCTTACCTAATCATCACATACTATGTAATAGTACTACTTACAAGTTACAATATCTATCTTGTGTAAGACTACATGCAATATTAATGTTTCCAGACGATGTAATTCGCACCCAAAACATTATGGATGACCTATCGCGAATGAAACATAATATTAACTTGAGTTAAAAATTCTGATGACATTGGCTTGAAAAATGTTTCGACTGGACCAAAAGTATTTAGCTCTGTTAGAAACGCGAAACCTATTTTCATCAGCGATATTTCTGCTTTCAATCGCGCAATCTTTCTTTAATGAAACTTACCTACAACCATAGCAGTGGAGTCTTTAGTCTTGCATGATGGCTGGCGAAGGTGTATTTTCAAACTACCCGGAGTCACTGAAAGTCACTGATTTAAGACATGAAACAATTGAGAAAGGCTTGCACGCGCCCAAGTTTTCGTGATCAAAATTGAGTTTTCTTGAAACTGAAGTCGCTTTCGAAATTTTTTTTAAACTGGTTGTAGGCGGAGTCGTTTCTTGAATGGCTCGAAGTTTGGTAATCGAAATCGGGTATGAACTCTACGGCTCTACATCCCCGCCGACTCATTCGTCCGCCTTGTCGCTTGTGTGCACCGGTCAAATTTTTATTCTGTATTTCAGGACATTCGCAACCAACGTAGGTATCGTCAACGCAGGAAGCAAGAATTGACGAAACTCAAACAGAACATGTCGATGTTGGATCAGAAATCGAAATTCTTTGAAGAACAATCAGAATATTACAATCAATATATCAAGAGCTGTCTCGCTAGCTTGGCAAACAAAAGCAAAAAGTGAGATTTTTTTCAACGTCATCTTGGTTTTTTCTAAATGACTAATTAAATACTATGATTCCGTTTTATCGTGTGAGATGAAATTTTTGCCGCGTTAGTGTCAATCTTTGAAGGGTTACCCATTAAACATATGAAATATTTTAAAGAACAAGACATGAAGACATGAACTTTTGCACTTGATTGGCAGTGTACATCATATGTATAGCTGCCCTAAGAATCGACCTCACTGTTTATATGGCAAGACATGAAATGTTGCACTTGATTGGCAGTGTACATTTTAAGTGTAGAAGCCCTAAGAATCAAGCCTACATACTGTCTATATGGCAGCCCTATCGTCGCCTACGGAAAAGGCCATTCAAATGACGATTGGCACCATAAATCGATCCCTATTCCAACCTATTTGCATTATGCAACATTTCGCTTTTATCGTTGTTCCATTGCGCCTGTGGATATATATATCGAGTGTACGTATATGATCGGTCGATTATTTTGTTATTTACTGTTTATAGGAAACAGAAAACGAAAAAGAAGATCCCAGGAATCAAATATACGGCATCGGAATTGCATAGAAAGAAGGTTTTACTTGAAATCGAAGGATTGGATACCAACCAGTAAGTTGGCTTATCATATTTGAATGGGCCCGTATCTCTCTTTTTCATCGTTTTACCTTAAATTATATGAATAGAATGAAGTTGTGTGTCTGGAATTGGCGGATTCAGATCCGGGATTGAGTTCAAGCAAATATCCATTTATAATAACGTAATAGCTGACTTATCATATTTGACTGGTCTGTGTATCTATCTTTTTTAGCGTATTTACCTTTAATTACATGAACGAAATAAAGTCGGGTGTCTGGATCTGGAATTGACGAATTCAGATTCGGGATTGAGTTCAAGTTTAAATAGCCTTTTATAATAACGTAATAGTCATACACGGCGTCAGAGTTCGTTAGTCTTTTTTAATTATATTGCCAATTTAGCTTCTAAGGTTGGTTCGTACTTCTGAGTTTCATTTTGTGCTAACAGCTACAATCACATTGACAAGATTCTTTGAAATTTTACGTGCTTTATTACTTATTAATGTATTATTTTGGTATTAAATTTTTGCGACGCACGTCAATGTCTTGAATAGGCATGGCGGGACAATGCTCTCAATTAGTATCTGCTCAGTTCAGTAGGCAATTGGTGAGCCAAATTGCTCCTCATTCGCACGAACGGTCATAAAGTATTTTCTGTGCTTGTATGTACAGTACTACAGACTACAAATGAATATCCGTTAGAGACATTGCACAATGAACTAAAATAGGTTACAGTGTCCAATGTCGCGTGGTGTTTTGAAAATTCTGCACTTAACTTACAATGGCCCATAATTCCCACATATTGGATCTTAGCACGAATTTGATATATGGGAGATGGCTACTGGGTTAAGAAAAACCGGATTATCCCGGTTGGACATAGACACATAGTCATTTCAAGCTCTTACATTTGTGTGTTAGAGTTGATTCATTGAAGCAAAAATTTAACATGTGATGATATTTTATCTTCGACTTTATATAATATTTTTCTTAAATATACATTAGTCGAATTTTACAGGTCACTGCATAATTTTAACGTTTCACTTTCTTTTCGAAGTTGCCTTTCGATTAGTCTCGATATATCATTTCAAGTCATATTATTTATTTGATTCTCACTGGACTTCACATTTTATGATGCTCAATCGATGAAGGACATTATTTTTTTCCAATATCGGTCATCGCATATTAGTTATATTACCAAATATCCAATATGCATTTAACTTAATATTATTACTAGCCTTGGAAATTTATTCCTTCTGTCGTTATTTTCTCAATAATACTATTTTGTTAAGAATTGCGGTAATGGGACATGCGAGATCAATCTGACCTAAGTGGCTCACCTATGCTATTGTGCAAGATTGCACACAAAGATTAGATATTAAATTTGCTAGCGATATCGAGATTTGGCCTCGACTTGTCTTAAGGTTAATCAGTACTAACTGCCTCGCCCACGATACGGCTGAATCTTAAGATGTCTGCCCCTTCTAAGTGAGGAAATGTGTGTGTACTGATGACCTGTTGGGGGCGAAAGGGTGCTAGTTAGCATCTCAAAGCGGGACCGGAATAATTATTTTAATCTCTCTTTTCATCAGATTCCGTAACGTTATGTTTGAAATCGGACCATCAGAAGGCGACCTCGGCAAATTTGACGTTTCTGCCAAATTCATGGGAGTCAATATGGAAAAAGTGTCCGTCGTATTCCAGGTAAGATTTTTGTTCTTCAATAAATAACAAATTTATTTTCATTTTCAATTACTTTACTGAAAATGGTGGTATACTCGCTTTCGTTTTTCATGGTAGTCGTATACTCAACGATGCTCAAAGTTTAGTATGTTTAGGACTCGCATTGATCGATGGCTAGTACTAAACTACTGGGAATTTACTTTCGTTTTTATGGTAGTCGTATTTTCAATATTTAGAATGTTTAGGTCTCATAAATCGATGACTGGTTCTGAATTTACTGGATAAGTACCTTTTAGCTCTTAGCGCTTCTGTTACAAATATCTTCTAAGCAACTTTTTCGTACATTTTATAAAATGTTATTGTGCTCTTAAGACCTAAGTGAATATGCATAAAATGATAACTTTTAATATATTATAGGATCTCCTACAGTTACAATACGAAGGTGTAGCTGTTATGAAGATGTTTGAAGGACGAGCCAAAATAAACGTCAATCTGCTTATTTTCCTCTTGAACAAAAAATTCTACGGCAAATGAGATGATGGATATAGTATTACAAAACATACTCAGTAGCAGCATTCATAAATCGATTTGAAGAAACCATCGCAAATCTATTTTTTGTGTAATTTGCTCGACAAATCGAAAACAATGCCCAAAGCATTACTACCAAAGGTCCGAAATTATCATGCCAAATATGGAGCGGTTTTAAGTACCTAACCGTGTAATAAAATTTCATGGACGATAAAATTAAATTTCGACTTAATGAACCTAATTACGAAGCCCAAATAGAAGCTTACAGATTATTAGATTTTCCAATTTAGCAAAAGCATTACATAAATAACTTAATCGCAATCATATTGTCAAATTCATAACATCCCTTTTTGCACGCTAAGAAGCCGGCACCATGCAAAATATCAAATTTGTTCGGAAACATGTTCTTCTCTTGTAGAAAAGCATATGCTGTATTCTTAACGCGTCGTCTTGTATATTAGTTGTATTATACAAATTTAGAAGTTTGTTTTTGTTATTTTGACATGATTTTCGTTCGTCAAATATAAATTTATTAAATTCTAATACAAACCACACTCACTCACAGAGAAAAATAACTCATTTACGTCCATGACATTCCAATTTTTTCATTTTTACTTGAGACGATATCTATTCCTTGAGATCCATTCCGGTATTTTACCATTCCTCCGTCAAATATTAACTGTTATAATATTGTAAACTAAGAACCAAGCATGGGCCTCTCGTTATTGTCTTGTAATAGATCTTGATATGACATCTGGATATTCTGCATACTGTAGTATTTAACCGTACTTGTTATTTTTATCTTTATTCGAATTCACGTAATCGGTGTTGTGACGTCATATTACTATATTATTTTATATTACTTTCTGACGACCAACTTAAATCCTCGTCTAGGGATGTGCAAAAATTTAGTTTAGGAAGAAACCGAAATTAAGAAGGTTCCTTTTGAGACTTTTTTTCACGTTTCGAAACTTATATGACAACATTTCTCATGTGTAACACGATTTTGTTGTCAATTCAACCCTTTTAGTCGAAATTGAAATTTGAAAGGTGAATTTAAACTATTTACATATGGACATCCCTAGACTGTTAGCATAATTTATCCATCTGCGATGTGCCATTTGCTATTGTTTTAGGTATGTTGTATTAATATGTTCCGTTGCCTTATCTTAAGTTAAAAATAGATTGGCAATATACCAATTTGTGCCCGTTAATTTGATTAAATATATAAATGCTCATCGAATTTATTCCACATTTCTGAAATATATAAATGCACAAACACTTGAAGTTAACTACTAATATGCATAGATCGGAGATTTCGGCTCAGCCGAACTCGTTTTTTTCTGCTACTGCATTCCGCAATTTAGCTAATTTCTTTGCATTCCAGACCCTTTTGGACCTGCTTGTATCAGGCCAGTAATCTGGGTAGTTGATTTGGGTTTTTCGTTGGGCATCACCAATTTGCTTTTTATTTGTATATTGTTCTTGTTTTATTTCTAAATAACTTTTTGTGAACGGGGAAATGGGAAGTAAATGAATGCTTTCAAGCATGATTTGGTTGGTTCTCATTTCTTTGTCGATAAGAATACCCGTTCATGTTTGCTACCTTTTGATTAGGTAGGCCGAATAATTGCATGTTTTATTATTTTCGTACGTTCGGCATGTGCCCTACGTCAATTTGCTTTGTATATACTATCCGGAGAAAAAGTTATGACAAAGTATATTGGTGTTCAATATCTGTCGTTGTGGAAATATTGGCGGAGTATCCAAGATACCTTTCCTGTTCCGATAGACTGGTCAAATTCAGCAACTTACAGGCTCGTTCATGGGACATATGTTTCTGTTCCATCCCATCTCATAGCAATTTATGCCCGTCCCATCTTATTGGAATACAATTCAATGAAAATTGTTAAATTCAGGTTCAGCGTCTACTAAATAGGACTACATGTACGATGAGATATGTAAAACAACAAAATCTATAACTCTAAAATCATAACTAATATATATACATGTGTCCATCAGCACAGCACCTTCGCCTCCAAGTATATTGTCAATGCTGAATATATTTTTCTCTTTATAACTAACGGGAGATCTATGCTCAAATATATGGACACGGAGTCCATAACGAAATATTTTACCACCATTTCCCCAAAATCACACAGTATTTCGTGCCTATGGGTAACACAAATGTGTGCTGTCCCCATCCGCATTCCCATGGGCAAGTCTTGCAATTTACCTGTCTTTCAGCGCGTTCCACACCGGCCACGTGACATTAGCCAGCAAGATATAGCCGAATTTGTAGCAGATGAGCTAGCTCCTAACTGAAAGCACTCGTAGAGCCATCTCAAGGGACCGCTATTGCATTGCAGCCTACGCTTAATTCAATAGGAAATTGGATTTGATATCTCCCCTTTCGGCTAGGTACAATGCTTCAGGTTTGAATGTGGGTTTGATGGCAGGGTCATTGGGTCGCTCATTTGCTTTCAGTCAAAAAAGTTTTGGGTGATTTGTTTTTAAACATGGAAACGGTTCCGCAAATAATGAAATCTCGAAATTCATAGATTAATAACAGTCTCCGCATCTGCTATGAACCGAGGGTTATCTGGACTATGACAAGTTCACAACTGCCCTATTACACAGCTGTGTATCGCACAAATATATTTTATTGTGCGTCGTCAAATATTGTGGGAATATACCAAGGAACAAAAAATAACCTTGAAGCTACACTGAACATAAATGGAAAACTCTGATTCACTCGGTCCGCGTTGTGAAGCTTGTGACTGTTGCAGATTCTCCGTCGGTCGCGTAAGGAGAATTCGTGATTCCTTCCATGTGAGATCGTCCCTTCTTTTTCATTCGCTTGTTGGCGTGACATAACAGTATTCCAAGTACTATTGCGGCGGTCACTGGGAAAGTAGTTTGACGTTATAAATTTAACGCTACTTTAGTCATCGAAACTACCAATGATTGCAATGTGTCGGACCATTCTCTTAGTATACCACGTTGAACATAATTTTTTTTTGTACTGCTGGGAGGAACAACTCCGATGTGTCGAAAGAATCCCGTAATATAGAGATAATTTGATTTGTATCATTCCCCCATCAACGTTTGCAAATAAATCCGATTTGGAATTGCAAAATTTTCTGGTCTAATGACATCTATTTAATAGTGATCAGATAAAAAAAATGCCCACATATATGGAATGGAGGCCAAAACATATTAGCATCAAATTTACAGTAGGCCTACCGGTAATCTGACCACAAAATCGCAGAACTGCGCATGTTGGGCATTTTTTTTTACTTTTGATGACTTCATCGCACACAAAAACGAATTCCATAGAGCCCACAGAAATTTTTAAAATAAATGAAAGTTGAAGCGAAAAATACAATCCACAACCGCTGAAAATTTCAAAGCAATTAGTCCAATACCTATGAAAAAAAGGGGTTTTCCACAACAAGAAGAAAGAATGAATAATAATAATAACCTTAGGAATAACAAGAGAGCGATGCTCAAATATATGGACACGGAGGGCACAACAAATATTTTATCATCAATTCCCCGAAAATCATATGCGGTAACTTACCTGTAGCTGTAGACCTGATATTCGATCGCGGAACCGCTCGAAATAAGTTAAAAACAGTGTTCCCATGAGTAAAAAGTAATACAGCGAAAATTTGGATGAAGTATCAGATCTCAGCGAAAAGTACAATCTTTAACCACTGAAAATTTCGAAGTAATTGGTCCAGTAGTTGAAGAGATAGGGGATTTTTTCATATCGATGCGAAGAAGAATACCAACAAGAACAACAAATACCAAAATGATACATAGGTCCACTACGTGTCCAATAACAAAACGATCCATATATATGTACATTTCGTGTCCAAAAAACTCACCTGACGCCGCTGTGGTTGCAGTTAAAATCACCGTCAGTAATATGTAGGTATTGATGTTTGGATCGCACACTAAAAAGAAATGAATATCCATCAGTGACTAAAAATATATGTTATTATGAAACTACATGTGATACCGATTTTCTTCTTACATTAAAATACCCAATTGCAATACCCTATTTTCTGCACTCAGACTCACGTTATGACCACAAAGCATATGAAATAGGTTGCGTAGCATGAGCCTAAGTTTTTACCTGGACAATAGCACGACTTGGTAGTTGTGACTGCCTCTGATTCGCCTGGGGGAAGTACAGTTGGAGATCCGGGTGGCGCAACAAAAAAGTTAATCACTGGAACATTAGATGTTTCTGCAACGTTCCCAGAACTGTCCACAGCCTTTACAGCAATCGCGAGTCTGATGAAATGCAAGTGTTTTAGTGTTGGTAGAAAGAGAATTTATCAGAAAAGGGGGAAACGATTTAACCTTTTTATTTAAATAAAATGAAAACAATATGCGATTGGGGCATTTTCCCAGCAATGCTTGCGATAGTCATATTGTTAAGTTGGTAATGTGAGAAATGGATTGCACAAGATTTTTAACCGGCACGAAGATGTACATGTGGATCGTTTATATTGTTATCTTTAACGTTTTTTTTTGTCGTTGTGAGAAAAAATCGCCTTTCGTGGTGCTTCGTGACCGCACGATCGCTTCAGCAAAATTGGTGCTTATCAGGCCTACCATATC